TTGCTACTGGGCCAGACATCTGGCACACAGCCTGGTAGCCAGGAGGCTCTCGAAAATATGGGTTGAGGGGAAAAAAAGAAACTGGGTTGGTTGAACGAATGCATGCATGCATGCGTGCCTGGAGAAGCAGGTAAGGACAGGCACTAACGTTTATCGTGCATCAAGTGGAAAGGGCACAACCCTGAGGCAGGCACGCTTCTTCCTCACTTTATGGAAGAAGAAACAGAGGCTCAGAAAGGCTGAGCACCTCACCCAGCATCACACAGCTTGTAACTAGCAAGTCCAGGCAAGAACTCCGCTGTGTGAAAGTCAGAGGCACAGCCTACCGCCGGCATGGGAGAGGATGGAAGAGCAAGGGGGCAAGGGGAGCTCCTTAGGGTTTTCTAGAGGTTCCCAAGTACATCAGCTATGCAATCGCCGTCAGCTGTGCAATCGCCAGCAAGTTACAGAGCCTCTTGGTTTCCTCATCTGCCAAATAGATCTGACATCAGAACCCTCGACTCAGTGTTGCTGTGAGGAGTAAGGGTTTATTTAGCCCGGACTCTAATACACTGGGAGTGATTAACAGGGGATGGTGCTCATGAGGCAAGAGGCATAGAAGTCCAGGGACCAGCAGTCTGTGGGGTCCCCAGGCTGGCTCTAACATTCCAGCACCCTGGGCTCTAGCCTAGCCATTAACTAACCCTTAAGGCTGGATCCAAACCCCCATGGTTTCCCCTAGTACCTCACATGCCCCCCAACCCCCGATCACATTCTGCACCAGTGTGAGGTACATGTTCACGCACCTGCATGCATACACATGTCCCTCTCCCCCTGCCTGCGGGCTCCAGGCTCCAGCCCCAGCATATGTCACCCTCACTTGTTCCCAACAAGTCTTAGCCTAGAGCCTGGCACACAACAGGATTCCTTTCCCCAACATGTGTCCCAGACTAGACACACTGTTAGCAACCAAAAGTTCACTGCTCCAATCATGCCACAGTAAAAGAACAGGACCCAGAAGTAGTCCAACCAGCTTTGGAATCCTGGCTGTGACCTGGGTCCTCCATGTGCCCAACTGTGCAGTGAACTGGGAGTGGATTATATGCTTCCTCTGGGCCCTCCTGAGCTGACATCTAGATTGGCCGGACTTCAAACACTCACACCTAGACCCTGGAAGGAGCGTGTGGGGCTGCCTTGCTCCTCAGAGCTCACACACTGTGGAATGTGATCGCACCTTCCTGTCCTCCCGGAAGTAGCTCCTGATTTATTAACATCCTAAAGCTACAGGGATCCACCTTCCTGGCTTCTCCCAGCCCCCCCAAGAATGAAGACACAGACATCCTATCTGCTCATTGGCTACCAATGACAATTCCCCCAGAGACATTTCACTGCTTGTAAAATATTCTCTTATCTTAAAAAAAAAAAAAATTTCTTGTCTATTCATACCTCCCTGATCCCTGAAAACAATCTTATGAAGCTGCCCAGGTAGGTTCCATCATCTTCATTATATAGATGAAAAAAGTAGCTCAGAGAGGCCAAGTGACTTGCCCATGGCCACACAGTAAATGGCAGAGTCAGGTCTTTGGGCTCCAACTCTCAGATTTTCCATCTACACTCTGATAGGTTCCCTGCATGTCCCCACTACATGGCACATGGGTCATGTTGATGGGCAGCTGGAAGACCTGAGACCACCAGGGCTTTGAAGGTCAAATGCAGTCAAGTGTCTGCTCTGCGGCTAAAGCTGCATCTTAGAACCATGGAACCTCCAAAATTCATAATCTTCAGGCTTCCTTGGCTGGAAGGGATCCTGAGGTCAGACAACTCAATTGTAGCCACCACATAAATCTCTCCCTGAATCTTCCTTCTAATCATAACCACCACCATTTTGTACAGTTTATAAGCCACTTTCCACAAACCCTTCATCTTCGTCCAAACATGCAAGGTCATCCAGCCTCTGCCTGAACAACTCAAGTGACAGTGAGCTCACTCCCTTATCTGTAGCAGCTCCTATCTCTGATTAGGAGGCAGCTGCCCCATGTGTTCTTTCCCTACTTGGGCCCCGGGACAGGCCTCATGCAACAGGAGACCTGCCACCACCTGTGAGGTCTTCCTTCCCTAGCTGACAGTTCCCAGTGCCCCCACCACTGGGAGATGAACCCAAGCAGGGCCCCCTGCACTTAAGACTCCACCCAGGTAGCACGAAACCTACAGGGGACACCCTGGGGATCTGGAGTCCTTCGCCTGGTAACTCAGTTACTGCTTCTTGGAAGCAAAGAGGCCCAGAGGGGCAGGAAACACATCAAGAGTGTATGACATTCTTACTCCAAGCCCTGGCTGTCTGGAGAACTGGCTCAGGGACCCAGAGCAAGTCCCTTCCTCTCTCTGGGCGCAGCTCACCCATCTGTAGAATGGACAAATCACCTCCTGTAACAGACCCTATACTTTACAGTCCACATCCCCAATCTCTGGATTTTCACCTCACCTCTGTGAGATTGGTGGCTGGGTCAAACAAAGCTCCAGAGAAATTCAGGGAGCGACCTGTGTGTACACAGCGAGGACTGCACAGTCCGGCCCCACTCACCTCTCTATCCAACCTCCTTCCTCTCTCCAGTCTCCATGCTGTCCCTCTACATCAACAAGCTTTTTCCCATTTCCCTCAGCCTGGAATGTTCTTACCCCAGCTTCTATTCAGCTGGCTACATCTCATCCTTCGGGCCATGGCCTCCCTAAACACCCACTGCCCCACCTTCGTGCACTCTTGGCACACTGTATCCTTCTCCACCCTTATCCTGATCTGTGCTGTGATTTATTATACCACTATTGTTAAATCCCAGTCTCCCCCACTAGACTCAGAGCTTCATGAATAGAGACACTTCATCCTTGTCCACAGTTGTATCTCGGATCTGCACTAATGCCTGGTACACAGTAGGTACTAAATAAATGGTGAAAGAATGAATGAGAGGCCAGAAGAAAGAGTCAGGCCTGCTTCAGGGGGGGAGGAGGATATCGTGCCGCCCACAGAGCCCACAAAGAACATGATGGATGCTCTCCATACCGCTGGAGAGCAGCGGTGATTGCAACCATCCTCATCTCATCTGAGGCACTCCATGCCAGGCACTCTTGTGGTGTTTACACACATCATCTTTAACCCATAAGGCTGGAGGAAGTGTGCTGTGCCTCTTTATAAAGAGGAAACTGAGGCCTGTAGACAGTAAGTCACTTTCCCAAGGCCACATAGCCAGGAAGCCAGACCCCAGATCCACTCGTGGCCTGAGGCCTGCATGTGAAGCCTGAGGTGCTGAATGAGAGTTGGAAATGTGGTCCAGGCCCAGCCCAGGCAGTGGGATGTACCCAGACATGCCTTGGCCCCTGGGAGACCTTGGGCTCAATCTCTTGCTCCCTTGCCTTCTGGGATTGCTATCCATCTTAACAGCCACAGCTGGCCCTGATGACTTCCTGGAGTGGACAGGAGCCCACGGGGGTTGCTGATGCATGAGGAGACCTTGAAGCAAAGCTCCACGTGCCCATGGCACAAACAGTGCTGGCCAGGAGGTCTGAGTTCAGCACAGCTCAGGTGGGCAGGGCCAGAAACAGTCAGGGGGCAGGGCCAGGCCTCTTTCTGGTTTGTCTCCGTCCTTCTACCCACCCTTCGCTTGTCCTCTCCTCACCGTGGCCTTCTGAAGACTGTGAGTGCTGACGGAGCCTTCAGCTATCAACAGTGAACAGGGGCCTTTGGGAAGACTCACCCAACCATCTCTAACAGAGGAGGAAGCGGGGACCCGACTTGGGGAAAGATTAGAGGCTAAAGGAGTGGATTATGCTGATTTCAGACGGACTTTGTCCTTTTATTCTAGAAGCATTTACTGAACACATGCTGGATGGGAGATCCTAGGGGGAAAATCAGGAGGGAGAGACACTGTTGAGCAAGACCCCAAAAGTCTAACGAGAGAGAAACCTATCTAGCCAGAAGAGCTACAGTGCAAAGCTAAGTGTTGCCGGGCAGACATAAATCAGCACAGTGATGTGAATTCTGTGGCTCCTGGCCAGGGTACTCTGGGTGTGCCAGGCCATCAACTGACAAGAGTAGTAGGTAACATTTCGGCCTCTTCAAAAACCATGCCCAGCCAGGGGTGGTGGAGCCTGTGAGGCTTTCTTTCCGTGTCCCCAGCCAAGGCCAGCACCCAAACACTGACAGACCACGGGCAGAGACTGGCCGGTACCCAGTAGGTGCTCATGTCCGCTGAGAGGGTGAAGGCAAGGCTCGTGTGCTCTCCTGGGAAGCTCTCAGGGCCCCAAGATGCCCAGACGCAATGCCCCTTTCAGACGGACGGCTTCCCTCCTCTCACCGGGAACATGGGAAGGACAAGGCAACGGGCCAGGAGGGGCCGGAGGGACTGCTGTGTGTACAGGGCAGAAGACAACATCCTGGGATTTCGGAAGCTGCCTCTGAACCAGTTCTCCCACGACATCATCCTCCCAGGCTGTGGGACCGTTAGACTGGACGGAAGTCGGACTCTAGCCAAGGGGATGTTCCCAGATGTCATGCTTTCAAACAGGACCCGCCCTGAAAGGCAGGCAGGGACAGGCCTGCACCAGGCGAAGCACTCAGGATAGTGTCGGGGCCTCCCCTGGGCAGGGGCCGCTGGGTTTCCCTGGCACAAGTGCACACGGATACCGGTTAGGGAAAAGACAGCAACCAGAGGCCTGGCCTCGGGCCTGGGGGTGGGGGTTCTAGGAAGGTGAAGGACAGGGGGTGCAGCCCTCACTGCCCACCCCCACCCCATCCCAAGTAATGCATCCTGGCACCCTCCCAAGCAGTCTTCCCAAGACTCCCTCCCTCCAAAATTAGGGCCCTTTGGCCAGTGCCTCCTCGGGAGGCGGTTTCCCAAATAAAAACGGAGGCAGGATGCGTGGGAGCCCCAGGCCGACCTCGGGGTGGTCCCCGGGGACTGCGGCCCCCCTTCCGCGCTCCTTCAGTCGGGCGCCTCCCGCGCCTCCCCTACCCCCCTCGGCGCCCCCACCTTGAGATAGTCGTTCTCCGAGCGCAGCTCCTCCAGCTCCCGCACGAAGCCGCCGGGCCCGCAGTCCAGCATCTCCTCGGTGAGGTCGGAGAAGGCCAGCGAGGCGCTGAGGGGCAGGCGGCTGCTGCCCACCGACGACGCGGCCACCGACGGCTCCTCCGGGGAGGCGGGCGGCCGCGGGGGCTGCTGCGCGGGCGGCGCGGGCTGGGGCGGCTGCCCCGGGCGAGCCCCCGCCGGGCCCCCGGCCGCCGACTCGGCGTCGCTGCTCAGCGCCAGCTCCAGGCCCAGCAGGCGCGCCTCCTCCGACGCGCAGTCCGACACCTCCGAGCTGCTGTCGGTGAGGCTGGGCGGCGGGGGCGGCGGGCGCGGCCCGGTGCCGGGGCGCGGGCGGCCCTTGGCGCGCACCCCGGAGCGGACCCCGGCCACCCGCGTCCCCGCGCTCCGCGCCCCGGGCGCCGCTGCGCGCCCCTTCTTGTCTGGCCGCGCGGAGGACGCGGCGCTGCCGGCGGCGGCGGCGCCCGGGCCTGGGCCGCGGCGGCCCTTGGCCAGAGACCAGCCGGCCACGTCCTTGGGCCGGGCCGGCGACGGCGCGCGGTGGCTCTTCTTCCTCTCCGGGGCGGGGGCGGGCGCGGGCGCGGGCGGGGGGCCGCAGCCCCGGGCCGGGGGCTCCCCCGCCGGCACCTCCATCGCGGCCTCCCTCGGCCTCAGCGAGCGGCGCGCATGGCCCGGGCCCGCCCGGCCTCCGCGCCCCTGGGGAGGGTCCCGGCGCCGCTCCGACCGCCCGGGCCGCGGCCCCTCCCGGCCCAGCTCAGCCGCGGTGCTGGGCTCCGGCCCGGACCCCCGCCGCGCCGCCTCTCCGCCGCCCTGCGCTCGGAGAGAGCGGCCCGCCCGCCTCCAGGCGCCCCGGCTGCGGCTCCGGCTCCGCCCGGCGCCCGCCCCCTCGGCCTCGCCGCGCCCCCGGAGTGCGCCGGGGCCCCGGCTGCCCGCGCGCCGCTCGCTCGCTCGGGCTCCGAGTCCGGCTGCGGCCCGGGCCCCGGCCCCGGCTCCGGCCCCGGCCCCGGCCCCGGCCCCGGCTCCGCCCGGCGCGGCCCGCCCCCCGCGCAGCCCCGCCAGCTCCCCGCCCCGCCGCCTCGGCTCGGGGGCGCGCGGCTCCGCGAACAAAAGGCGGACGCGGCGGGAGCGGCAGGGAGGGACGCAGGCTGCGAGCGAGGGAGGGATCTGCGAGGCAACAGCGACCCCCTCGAGGGTCAGGCGGGCCGGGGCTGCCGCGGCCCGGGCTCCCGCCGCCGCCGCCGCTCCGCCGCAGCCGCCGCCGCCGCCGCCGCCGCCGCCCCCGCCCGCCCGGGGGACGAACCCGGCCGACGCGCCCCTGCGCCCAGCGCCCGGGCAGGGGCCCCGGGAGCGGCGAGCGAGGGGACTCCCGGGCGGAGGCCGAGCCGCCCTCAGACCGCAGGAGCCAGCATCCATATACACCGCCGGCGCCTCGCCCCTCGCGGCCGTGCGGAGCGTGCGCGAACTCCGCCCCCCTTAACCTTGCCAGGCGAGCCCGATCATCCCATAGTACAGATGCGTAAACTGAAGCCGAGGGAGCACGCGGTTAGCCCAGCGTCGGGGCCGAGCGCGGATGGAACCCAACCCCACAGCGCCGTGACGCGCTCTGGTTCTTCTGCCTCGGCCTCCCTCTCACGGGCCTGCGGACCGGGGAGCCCTGGGTGCATGCCCAACTCTGCGCACCTTAACCTGCCGGAACCTCGGGCACTACAGCTCCAACCCCGACCCGGTTGCTGGCTCTGCATAGCTAAAATGGAGGCGTCCCATTGTGAGCCCGGCGACGCTCTGGGAGTAGGTTCTGACCCCGGTGGGGGCTGGCACAGACCGAAGGCAATTGTCCTGATCCCCGCACGTTCCCTCCCCGGGGCAACCCCAGACAACCCCCGAGCCCTGGCTCTGGTGGTTTCCGCTCCTTCCCTCCAGGGCCGTGCTTCTGGCTCTGTTGTGGGCTTTCCCGAGTCTGCCACACCTTCCCGCCTCGGTCCACTCCGCTGCTCCTTGAAGCTACTCTCCCTCACCGAGCCACCGCTGGGCAGAGCCCGTTTTAAGCCCTTGGCTGCCCCACGGGTGGGCACCCATTCTCCGGGTGGCACCTCCTTGCCACCTGGGGAGGGGGCAGGGTTATGTTTACCCCCTGCAGTCTCTTCTTTTCCCGGTTCCTGCCTCCCCTCCTTTTCCTCCACCAGCCGATTTCTCCTTTCTCTTCCGCCGACCCCCCGCCCCCCCGCATCCAACCCACCCACCCCCGCATCCTGTTTCTCCGCCTCCTCCTGCTCTTGACACTCAGTTGACACCAGGTCTGCTTCTTAATTTCTATCCCACCTCCTTCACAGTGGGGAATACGGGGGTATGCCTTCTCACCTGAGACGTGGCTTCACCCTGATCCAGGTGTGTCCAGGTGTGTGAGTGCCCCCTCCACCCTCAGGTGTTTCCTCCAGGTGGTTCCACAGAGCCACATGGAGCAGGGCCCCTTAGCAAGTTCTCCACAAAGGCTTCTTTAGACATTCCCACCACTCCCCGGCAAGGCACCACCTCCCCTGTTTGCCCTGACTGTCCCCTCACCTAGTCCATAGGCACCAGGTAGGACAATAAGTGGACTTGTCATTGGTGCATTCCTGACCTCATGGAGCACGCAGTATAGGGGGGAGATGGGCCACTGTAGATTCATCACAAACAAGCTGGTGGTGTGTAGCACAGGGCAAGGGCCAGAGCAGGCCTTCCCAGCTCCTGGACCTCAGAGTCCCCATTTGGTCTAGTCTGATGCAACAGATGACAGAGTCCTTCCAGCTCGGATGCCTCCATTTCTTGTAGGGTGGTCCTTTTCTGGCACAGAGATGCTATAGAGTTCTCAGAAATGGTTTGCCTTCTCTGTGTTTCAGTTTCTTGTGGCTGACTGCATTTTCCAAAGAGAGGCACAGCAACATACAGCCCATCCCAATCACCCTTTTTACGGTGTGGCATTGACACTCTTCCAGTTGAGCAAGGGGATCTATATCCCCTCCCCTTGAACCTGAGTAGGCCTTTGTGACTGCCTCAAGCAATAGAGAGTGGCAAAAGTGATGCTGTAACTTCCAAGGTTAGCCCATAAAAAGCTACTCAGTGCTCTCCTGAGCTCACACTCTCTTTCTCTCTTAATCCACTCACCCTGGAACCCAGGCCCCATGTTGGGAGGAAGCCCAGGCCTCACAGAGAGGTTAGTAAAGGTGTTCCAGTCAACAACTCCAGCTCTGGTCCCTGCTAACCACCGGACATGTGAGAGAGTGGACCTTCAGATGATTCAGCCCCCCGGCTTTGGCACTGTCCCAGATGATGCCAAGTAGAGCAGAAATGAGCTGTCCCAAACTGCAAAATAAATATTGTTGTTTTAAGCCACTAAGTTTTGGGTTAGTTTGTTACACAGCAATGGATAACTGGAATGCTTGTCCAAGGTCACACAGCTTGGAAGCGGCAGAGCTGAGACTGATTGGAACCCAGGGACATCCAGTTTCAAAGTCTGTTGTGCTGCACTGATGGGTGATGTCCAGCTCACGCACACGGTGTATGCTATCTAAAGCTCCACTCAAGGAACACCTGGGTGGCTCAGCAATCGAGCATCTGCCTTTCGCTTAGGATGTGATATCAGGGATCAAGTCCTGCATGGGGCTCCCTGCGAGAAGCCTGCTTCTCCCTCTGCCTATGCCTCTACCATTCTCTCTGTGTCTTTCATGAATAATTAAATAAAATCTTTTTTTAAAAATTACAAAAATATAAAGCTCTACTCAAGAAGGAATGAAGCATACAATGATTATAAGAATTTTATATCAGATTGTAAGAAATGATGCCAATTACTCAGTGGAAAAACAGTTAATTTCCTCCCATTCAAGCTGCTAAATTGACCACCATGATGAAAACTGAATGAAGACTAAATCCTGGAAAGCTTCAAAGAGGAGGTGATTTTTTTAAACTAAAGGGTGTTTTTTCCTTTTTCATTATACAAATCATGAAAGAAACAAACCACTGGCTGAGGGAGAATTAGAGGAATTAGTAGGGGACCCTGCTTTAAATAGTATAGTCAGGGAGGCCTCACTGAGGAGGTGGCATTTAAACTGAGTTATTAAAAATAAATAAACTTATAGTGTTTTTTTTAAAGCCCTATAAGATTAAAATAAATAAACTGAGTTATTCAGGGGCACCCAGTTGCCTCAGTCAGTAAAGCGTGCAACATGTAAGATCAGGGTTTTGTGAGTTCAAGTCCCACGTTGAGCATGGAGCCCACTTAAAAATTAAAATTTTTAAAATATTTTTTTAATATGTATACATACAAATTGAGTTATTCAAAGACCCAAAGTAGGGACGCCTGGGTGGCTCAGTGATTGAGCGTCTGCCTTCGGCTCAGGTCATGGTCCCGGAGTCCTGGGATCGAGTTCCGCATCGGGCTCCCCATGGGGAGCCTGCTTCTCCCTCTGCCTCTCTCTGTGTATCTCTCATGAATAAATAAATAAAATCTTAAAAAAAAAAGTAAGAGAATTTCAGGCAGAGGGAACAGCAAGGGCAAATCTCTGAGGCAGAATAAGCTTGATAGATGTTGAAGGAAGTGAGAAGGTCGGTGTGACTGGGACTTGATGAGTGATGGAAAGTTAAAGGACAAGTTAAAGCTGGAGTGAAGCCAAGGCATGCCCTGGGCAGGGGCTTTATTCTTGATGCAGCAACAAGCAATTGGAGCCCTTAAGCAGGGGCATGACATAATCTAATTTGTGAGTGGGTTTTTTGTTTTTGTTTTTTAATATGTATTTTAAACAGATCACTCTATTTGGTCTGGAGTCCTGAAGAGTCATCAGCATTCAAGCATATTTAAATCCTCGTGACCAGGTGAGGTCATATTGGGAGAGCATCTATAGAGAAAAGAGAAACTGGTCCACAAGCAGGAAGTTAAGAAGTCCTGATTCTAGAAAGTGACTTAAAAGGAAAAGCCACCAACAGGAGATTGAGAGAGAGCACCCAGTAAGGTAGGAGAGAATACACAGCGATGCGTTGCAGGGAGGTCAGGAGGCTGAATGAAGTGGGAGGCATCCCTGGGTCAGGGGTCTGGCAGTGGAGACGCTGCAGGAAGAGGAGGGCAGAAAAGTGCCCCCTGCCTAGCACCACTAGGAGGCTGGGGTGGTGAGGACAGAAGTCAAAGGGAGTGCACTGAAGAGTGAGCAGGCTGTGGAGGTGGAGTGCAGAAAAAAGAGAAATGGAGCAGTTGGGATGGGGACCATCCTGTGGAGAGAGAGGGAGAGAGACAGAGAAGGAGACAAAGAGGGATCAAGAGATGAGGGCTTGGCTTTTGAAGGGAGCAGGGGCCTTACCTCCATCATCCTGGAGGAAGGATGGAAGGCATGGAGGAGGGGGTACCTGGGTGGCTCAGTGGTTGAGCTTCTGCCTTCAGCTCAGGGTGTGATCCCGGGGTCCTGGGATCAAGTCCCACATCGGGCTCCCTGCAGGGAACCTGCTCCTCCCTCTGCTTATGTCTCTGCCTCTCTCTGTGTCTCTCATGAATAAATACAATCTTTAAAAAAGGGGGGGAGAGAGGGGGAGCCATGGAGGAGATGTAGGGGCTTCTGTCGGGAGGGTGAGGGGGCTGCTGCTGATGGCTTCTGTTTTCTCAGGTGAGAGTGAGGAGACCAAGGAGGGCAAAGACTTCAAATCTCAGAGAACAGAACTTAGATTTCCCAGGACATGGGGGGAGGTGAAGCCAGTCCACCCAGCAGGCATGGGGTGTTTTCTAGAAAGGACTCTAGTCAAGTGTATTTCATACAGCTGAAACTGTGAGGTGCCTAGGATTTTATGTCCTCTTTCCATCTACCAGAAGGGCAGAAGCATTTCCCATGCATTTATAAACTCTTTGCAAGCATCACTTTTAATACTTAGAAATAATCCACAGAATGGATGTTCCAAGAATCACTTAACCTTTCCCCTTTTTATTGGACATTCAAATTGTTTCCTGGCAATAATATTGGAGTTCTGAGAGAGGCGGCGTGTGGTCTGGAAAAGAAAGGAGAAGGCGAGCTTTGAGCCAGAGCTGGGATGTCTGGCACTCTGGCGCCTAGAATCCCATCATGGGAGCTTTTAGGGGCCCTATTATTGGATTGGTGTTCCTGACAGGTCATATTCTGGGTTTTCCTGGACACGAGAACAAAGAATGGGACAGCAAAGCAAATCTCACTGGCTTCTCAAAGTGCCCAGTGGTTCAGGTCTTGAGCCTGAGAGAAATAAGTTTGGAAAAAGGGCCAGGTATGTATGACCCCTGAACCGTTTACAATTCAAACACATATTGCAACAGCCCTGTTTGAGGTGGCAACAGGGCCATTTGCTTGCCTGTTTTCCCCATAATACAAGGCTTTTCTGTATCCCACCCTTCCTGGAGGGGGCATCGCCAAAGAGACCTGGACTTAGAATATCTGGGACTCAGGTCCTCAACACAAAGCTCAACAGAGAGGGTGTCTTTCAGTTGTGTGAGAATGAGGCAGGCCTCCCGAGACAAGGGGTCTACCCACCCAGCAGAGGCCAGGAGACAACTTGGTGGATGTATTCTCCAGTGGGCACTGGCCTAGGTGGAGACTGCTTGTTCTGGGATTAGCTGACGCCCCTTCCAACTTGAGGATCTGTGATTTGACAACACAGCATTCACTGAATCCTATTTTGTTTTGAGTCAGGGACAGAAAAGTATCCTCCCAACACACCCCCGTGGACGAAGTGCCTACTGTGTGCCAAACACTGGACTTCCTGTGCGTGATCTCACATACTGTCACAACAGGCCAGTGAGGAGAGAGTCATCACCCAATCTGAGAGAGGGGAAACAAGCCAGGGCAGAGCAGGATGGCTTCTCTCTGCCTCCCAGCCTCGGGCTTCCCCTGTAGTATGGAGTGATTGATGGAGAATCCCACGGCATTGCCTTTTCCTGTAGCATCTGTACCTGATAAAGAAAGGTTCCTAATGGTGGGCTCCAGGCTCCAGGTGGTACCTGGTAGCTGTGGTGAGAGGAGTCCAAGAGCCAAGAAGTTCAGTGTCCTCCATCTCTTTGGACTGGTGGGAGCCGAGCTGGAGGTCAGAGGGTAACAAGGTCTTGTTTGTGTATATTTATGGGATTTGAGTTTCTGATGGACAATAATCCCTGCCAGGCTTCCCAGCTGGAACGGGAGTGGGCATAAGGCCAAGGCCAGACGCCCTCTGGGCAGGTATAAGAGCCGGGGAGGAGCGCCTGGAGCCTGGCTGGGGCAGAGGTGCCAGCCACTGCCAGGGGACCAGGGTGCAAAGCTAAAGCTGCTTCGGACAGACTGCCAGGTGGAAGAGTTGGTTCTGGAAGTGGCTCTCTCTGGAGAGCCTGGGAGATACGGTAAGGAACCATCTGGCTGGACAGGCTGGGGGAGGTTGCCAGAAGCCAAGGCTGTGCAAGGCAAGAACATTTTTCCCATTCCTGCCTTTTTCTTCCCCACTGAGCTACTTCTTCTCCCTACTAAGTGACCAAGAGACCATCTGTCCAGAGGAGCCCAGGTGGAGACTGAGTGGGTATTTAAGTGTCAGGTATTTAAGTCCTGAATTTTTCAGAGGTGGTGTTGGGGGAATAGCAATAAGCACGATCATTTCCCCAACACTCACTGAACACCAGGCACTGTGGGTTATCTCATCGAATTGATAGCAGAAGAATGGAGGCTGGACTTAGCATCCTAGTTCTTCAGGCATTATCCTTTTTTTTTTTTTTAAGATTTATTTATTTGAGAGAGAGCATGTGCACAAATAGGGGGAGGGGCAGAGGGTGAGAATCTTCAGGCAGATTCCCAGCTGAGTGGGGAGCCCAATGTGGGGTTCCATCCACGAGCCATGAAATCATGACCTGAGCTGAAACCAAGAGCTGGACACCTAACTGACTGAGCCATCCAGGCATCCCAGGCATTATCTTCTTTCACTCTTACAACAGCCCTATTAGGTGGTTATTAGTATTTTACAGAAGAGGAGGATGAAGCACAGAGATGTTAGGTAACTGCCCAGTGTCACATAGCAAGGAAGTGGTATAATCAGGATTTGAACTCCCTGACTCCAGAGCTTGTACTAGTTTTTGATTTTTAAGATTTTATTTATTTATTTGAGAGAGAAAGAGAGGGCATGCACACAAGCAGGGCAGGGGCAGAGAGAGAAGCAGATTCCGGGCCAAGCAAGACTTAGGACTTGATCCGGGGACTTCCAGATTGTGATCTGAGCTGAAGGCAGACACACAACCAACTGAGCCACCTAGGAAACCCAGAGCCTGTGCTTGTAACTACTGTGTTATACTAGTGTGGCTGTGATAAGTTTCTTCCACTCTCAGAACAGTAATTTCCTTATCTGTAATTTAAGGTCATAAAACTTGGTGCTCAGAAATATTACCCTAAGATTCCCTAAAGATAAATTGAGATGGGTCAGCTTTAAGCCCTGGGAAGCCTTGTTGGAAACATTATCAAGAATTATGGGGGCACCTATGTGGCTCAGTCGGTTAAGCATCTGACTTTGGCTCAGGTCATGGTCTCAGGGTCCTGGGACTGAGCCTCATGTCAGGCTCCCCACTCAGGGGGAAATCTGCTTGTCTCTCTCCTTCCCCTCCCTGTGCTCTCTCTCTCTCTCTCTCTCAAATAAATAGATAAAATCTAAGAAAGAAAGAAAGAAAGAAAGAAAGAAAGAAAGAAAGAAAGAAAGAAAGAAAGAAAAAAAAGAAAGAAAAAAAGAAAGAAAGAAAGAAAGAAAGAAAGAACTATGAGGGGGTGATTGCCTGGCTCAGTCAGTGGAACATGCAACACTTGATTCTGGAATCATGAGATAGAGCCCCATGTTGGGTATAAATATTACTTTTTTTTAAAAATTTTTTATTTATTTATGATAGTCACAGAGAGAGAGAGAGAGGCAGAGACACAGGCAGAGGGAGAAGCAGGCTCCATGCACCGGAAGCCCGATGTGGGATTCGATCCCAGGTCTCCAGGATCGCGCCCTGGGCCAAAGGCAGGCGCCACACCACTGCGCCACCCAGGGATCCCCGGGTATAAATATTACTTAAAAAAAAAAAAGAACTATGTGTATGGCCCCACCTTTTTAAAGATTTTATTTATTTATTTGAAAGAAAGGCAGAGCTAGAGAGAGCAGGAGCTGGGGGGAGGGGCAGAGGGAGAGAGAAACAGGCTCCTCATTGAGCAGGGAGCCCTACATGGGACTCCATCCCAGGACCCCAAGTCCATGACCTGAGCTGAAGGCAGATATTTACCTGGCTGAGCCCCCCAGGCACCCTGTGTATGATGTTTGATCCAGCATTCAACTTTTGAAATTTATCATAAAGGATATAATCAGATTTATGAACAGGGAATTTCATTACAATTTTGCTTATAATCACAGAGAATTAGAAACACACAAAATGTCCAACAGTTGAGGAATAAATGATATATCCTATGAGGAAACAATATGTAGCCATTAGAAATCACATGTTCAAAGGGTGCTGAATGTCACTGGAGAATTCTCATTTTTAAGTGGAAAGGTACTTTTTAAAACTATACATAAAAGTATATGTGTGTATATATATGATAAATGAAAAAAACTGGAAAAATATACTTAAGGGTTGAGAGTTTATCTCTGAGGGATGAAATTATGAATATTTTTGTATCTTTATTCTTTTCTAGATTTCTCAATTTTTTTTGATTTCTCAAAATTTCTGTCATATACATGCCTTTTTAAATTAGAAAAAGGAAGATTATTTTTTTTAAATGGAGCTGTTGTTTATGTGTTGTTCTTTTGGTTTAGTCTTGGCTCCTTTTAAAATTCTGTTATAATACACTTGCTGGCTTTGAGAGGGAACTGAATTGCCGGCAGTGAGTACTGTGAGGGCCTCTGAGACTCTGAGATGATCTGGTCTAACATGTTTCATGTGGAAAAACTGAAGCCCAAGGGTACAAGGGAGTTATCCAAGGTCAGAGAGAGAACCAGAGGCTCCAGATCCCCAGCCTGGAGCTTAGGCATCTGCCCAAAGGGCCAGAATCCCTAGGCCAAGCTGCCAGAAGGGCAGGGAGATGGAAAGGAATCACAGCTAGAATTTACTATGTATGATTAATATGTGTTAGTTGCTAACTCCAGGTGAGGCCTTGAATGCTGAGGGTAGCTGACATCACAGACCTACCCAGTGATGATTAGTCTTGGGAGTGACAGGAGAGAGAGCAAAGGGCAGCTGGGTGGCCTGGCACTAGCAGGGTGTGCCCCAGGCCTCTCCCTCTCATCTCTAGGCCTCACCAGCAGTGCTTCCTCCCCTGGGAGGGCTGAGGACTCTCACTGACAGCCACCGGGCTCAGACAGAATGAAAGGTCTCCGTTGGCGTTACACTCGGCTGGTAAGGGGCCCAACTTGGGCTGGGGGACAAGCCAGCAAGGGTGGAGTAGGCTAGATCTCTGGTGGTGGGGGGTGGGGGGTGGGTAGGATTGGACATAGATGGGTGATTTGTTCCCCTTCCAAGTCCCTCTCCAGCTGACCTGGAGTTCAAGTTCAGGTTCAGGAACCTGGGGCCTTGCCCCCTTACCCCTTGGTCCTGAGACCCTATGGAGCACAGACGCCTGTCTCCAGCCAGATGGAGCTCCATCCAGAAGCCCCACTCAGCTAGGACCCCCTTCTCAGGCTTGAACCTGGAGAATAGGAAAGAAATGTCCTAGTCATTTCTCATTCTCTAGGAGGCCTCTCCTTATGAAAAGTCTCCAAGTCATTGTGTGCAGGCGCGTGTACACACACATACACACCCTCTATCATACATTCTGGTACAGAGTGGAAGCTCAACTGAATGAAGGCATAAACCAACACACATCCACCTGACACACACACACATATTTATACAATCCCAACTCACATTCATAAACACGTTGACAGGCAAACACACAAAGTTACTCAACACCTTCTCACATTGATTTTGCCAACACAAGTCTATTTGAAGCCGACACACACCTTCACATGGACGATCACACATCTAACACAAACCTGCATGTGCTTTCTCAGCTGCTTCACACTTGTCTCCCTTGACTGACAGAAGCCTCTGGCCCTCATTTTCTTTCTTTGTAAAATAAGGATAGTAAGGAGCATGTTCTTAGGATTCTTGGGAAAATTCAGGGAGGTCATGCACAGCAAGCGCTCAGCCAGGCCTGGTTAAGAGTGTGCTGATCAGCATTGGCCACTATGGGTGTTGGTATTGTTATGATTATTGATATTATTATCATTGTTTCAAGTACAGATGCACACAGTTGCCGCTCTCAGGGCTGGGCCAGGCTGCCACCTGCCCTTCTCTTCTGCCCCTGAGCTTAGAACTTGATCCTTGGCACCCACTCTGGATCTACAGCAGGCAGGCAGACAAACCACAGAGTCCATGGCCACATCTGATGGGCATGGGTACCTGTGACTTCCAGCTGGCAGGGGCCAGGGTGGTCTTGTCGGTCAGGGCACCAGCCTCCCCTGGCTGGGCTGGTGGTTGCAAGGGTCTGAGTGGGGGTGATGAGGCAGCCCAGGCTCTTGTGCTCTGGAGACATGGGAACTGGTGTCTCCTTGAGCCTCGACTTACCAGGCCTCTTTGTATCTTCATAGCCCAGTCAGGTGGAAGATGCTTTATCTGTAGAGAAGGGTGAGGATGAGGAAGAGGAAGAGGAAGAGAAGACAGCCCCAGCTCCAGCCTCAGTCTCAGCTCCTGCTCCTGAAGATCCTGTGGAGCCCCAGCTGGCAGAAGCCAGCCAGGTTCTCGGACCCTTGGAGATTAGGCAGGTTGGAGCACAGTGCCAGGAGCCTAAGGGTCCCCCGCTCCTTCCCTACCCCAGCCAGGTCCAGGGACACCCTAGGCTCATTCCTTCTACATCCCAAACCTATGGTGGCGGTGGAAGGATGAAGTAGGGAGGAATAGGGGTAGGGATTCAGCACCTCATCTATTCTCCAGCCTCTAGGGACCAAGGTTATCAAGGGGAAAGAGTCCTGAGGGAGACCTGACCTTGATTCAAATCCTGGCTCTGCTGCTTACTCCCGGTGTGGACTCTAGGCAAGTTGCTTCACCTCCCTGAGCCTTGTTTTCCTCAATTGTAAAATGGGACTAACAATCCCTCTCTCTGAGGGCTCCTAACTGGCCCTTGGAAACAGTAAACTCCTCTGCCACCCATAAAGCACCATGCCTGGGTGAGTGTGGCCTATTCAACCTCATTCTTTGTGGCACCCTGAGGACAGAGTGGAAGCAACAAGGGATGGGGTGGGGGGACAAGGATCATTTGCTCACCTCCAGCCCTATTCCTAGCTCAGCCTCCACCTCCCCCCAAGAGTCACTGGACATCTCTGGAGCCTGGCCTTCCGAACATCGAGAGATGGCTTCAGCCTGCGGAGCTTGTACAGGCAGATGGAAGGCCACAGCGGGCCGGTGCTGCTGGTGCTAAAGGACCAGGATGGTCAGGTGAGCTGGGCCACAGCCCCAACCTGAGGCTCTGGGGGTGCCTGACCACACAGCAGCAGGCCCTGCCCCAGGGCAGCCTCAGGGACTTGTATACATACTATGCATCTTCCATGTGCCAGCTTCGACGTGGATGAGAGCCAGGTCAGACAGAAGGGGTTCCAGCCCTCTTGGAGCTAGAGGCCTAATAGGGAGGTGGGGCCTGAGGGGAAGCAAATAGTCAACTGGGAAGACAATTTATGTGGGGCAACTACACCTTAATGATCCATTTGTGCTTTGAAAACATTCCCCTGCTGGTGGGAGAACGGATCTGAGAGACTAAGAGTGAAAGCCAGCCAGTGAGGAGGCAGCCCCAGGAAGCGCCCACCTTTTACAGCAGGGACCTTGGGAGGGCGCTGTCTCAAATCCATGTGGTCTCACCAATGGGGCCCAGGCTCTCTGAACAGGGGCCAGCTAGCTTCAACTGCTCTTCCATGAGAGGAATGTGTTAGAGCTGGGAGAGATCTCAAGGGTCCCTGAGGAACCTCATGTGGACAGGAGCTCCCTCCATCTTCAAGATGCTGATCAAGGCCCGTCCTCCTCAAGGTCGGGGAGCTCACTTCTTCAGGATGGAGTCCCTTCCTTGGCAGAGTGTTGCTGACTATGAGGATGTTACTCTTTATATTAGGCCAAAACCTACTCCCCAGGGCTGCCTCCCAGTGATCCTGCCTCTGCCCCACCACACTCTGTAAAAGAGGGAAAACCTGCAGCCACCAACTACCCCACAGCGAGAGAATGGCTGAGGGAAATATGGTTCTGCTACATAGTGAAATATTGCCAAAGGCTGCTAAGAAAAATGATGTAGAGCCACAGCTATTAAAAGTGTTAAGTTTTTGTTTTTATTTATTTAAGACTTTATTTTTATTTTCTTAAGTAATCTCTATACCCAGCTTGGGGCTTGAGCTCACAACCCAAGATCAAGAGTTGCAAGCTCCACTGAATGAGCGAGCCAGGTGCCCCGAGCTCTTGTTTTAAGATAAAACATATCTTGTTTTAGATATGAATGGTACTCTTGGGCCAATGGAGAAAATGTATTAAAACTGGATATTAGGGCAGTCTTGGTGGCCCAGCAGTTTAACACCACCTTCAGCCCAGGGCATGATCCTAGAGACCTGGGATCAAGTCCCATGTCAGGCTCCCTGCATGGAGCCTGCTTCTCCCTCTGCCTGTCTCTGCCTCTCTCTCTCTGTGTCTGTCATGAATAAATAAATAAATAAAATCTTAAAGAAAAAAAGAACTGGATATTAGATATTATGGAATTGCTGTTAATTTTCTGAGGTGAGATGGTCGAATTGTGATCATACGTGAGAAAATCCCCATTCTTAGGAGTTGAACTATTTAGGGGTAAAAGGGTTGTAATATCTGCAAATTATTTTCCAACAGAACAGCAAAAAATAGAAGAAGAGAGAAAGTAAATATGGTGAACACATTTACAGTTTTGAGTCTACAAGGAGGTTATCTGTACCGTGCTTTTACTTTTCTGTATGTTTGAACTTTTAAAAAGAAAAGTGAAGGGAGGAAGCAGCTTACAAAACAGATGTACAGGGCACCTGGCTGGCTCAGTTGGAAGAGCATGCGACTCTTGATCTCAGGGTCGTGAGTTTGAGCCCCATCTTGGGTATAGAGATTACTTAAATAAGTAAAACTTGAAGAAAAAAAAAACCCTACAAACCCAGGTGTACTATAGGATCTGGTTTTCTGTGTAAGAATATATACACTGGCATTAAAGATGCTGGAAAGAAATGCACAAATATATTAAGAAGAGTTACCCTCGGGAACAAAGGGGGAATTGCAAAGGGTTTAGTGTTTCTTTCTTCTTGTCTATAACTTCTAATACCTTTCTACAAGGATTACTTTTACAAAAGAAGTATATTTAAGAAAAAGTAGGAGGACACCAGCAAGAGTTCTTCCTTGGGGAGTGTCAAGGGAAAGGACACACATTGATGGGCCTATGCAGCCCTCCCTATGCCCCAGGTCTGTCCCAGACCCCCCGGGGTGCCCCTCTAGGTGAGTCTGTATTACTAAGCCTGGAGAGCAGGTTTGCCAGAGGATATCCACTCCCTTCCAGCTACAACAGCAAGTTCTTCTATTCTTCTATTTCCAGATGTTCGGGGCCTTCTCCTCTTCAGCTATTCGACTCAGCAAAGGCTTCTATGGTACTGGAGAGACCTTCCTCTTCTCCTTCGCCCCACAGCTAAAGGTGATATTCCCAGCCTTCTAGGGAGGGGGGAGGAGGGCTATACCAAAGATCCTGAGGTCCCAGTGGCCCCTAGCTCTATTCCCCATGTTGGGGTGCCTCATATCCCTCCATCTTTCCACAGAGGGAATATGACAGGGCAGTGGTGGGCAACACATCCCCCTTGGCCGGCCCATCTTCATTTCTTTTTTTTTTTTTTTAAGATTTTATTTATTTATTCATGAGGGACACAGAGACAGAGACATAGGGAGAGGGAGAAGCAGACTCCTCGTGGGGAACCCGATGTGGGACTCGATCCCAGGACCCCACGATCACGACCTGAGCCAAAGGCAGACACTCAACCACTGAGCCACCCAGGCGCCCCCATCTTCATTTCTTAAAATGCTCAGTAGGTTCCTGGCAACTACAGACTGGTTTGTAAAGGAAGAGGGGTATGGCTCACCCTATGCAGGCTGTACAGACAAGAAGTCTGTCCAAGTGCCAATAGATCTGTGGGTGTACAGGTAGGAGAATAAAGACAGACACATCCAGTGACTTCAGCCTTATGAAGTATGGGCTGAGGTCATCAGCTAAGAGTGAGGTCAGAGCAGACAATGTAAGGGTTGAGCAGAGAAAAGGTATCAAATCATCATGGGAGTGGAGAGGTAGGCCTATCAGAGAAACAGAAGGACAGGGTCACCTGGAGGTCTGTCTAAAGGCAAGCCAGTCCCCTGGGCACGCGTGTCCCTCCAGCTACATTAGGCTCCTTGAGTTCAGGCATGGGAGAGAGTGACTGGGGCTTTTGCCAAGCTGGTTGGACAGAGGGACAGAGGGGAGCGGAGGTTGACGTCTGCATAGGTAGGGAAGGGGAGCCGGGGAGGCTGGAGGACAATGAAAAGAAGATGATAACAACAGTTGAGAGGTGGCTTTGAGGTCAGAGACTTGCAATAACGACACCCATTGAGCAATGTGTTGGAATATAAGATGAGACAGGGACACTGGAAACAGACTGGTAAGGACAGATTCCCGGGTGTGAACACAAGAGCCAGTGGCTGGGGTGGGGGTAAGAACACCCCTGGATTGGAAAAGGAAAGGATAGGGGGCACCTGGGTGGCTCAGTGGTTGAGCATCTGCCTTTTGCTCAGGTCATGATCCCAGGGTCCTGGGATCGAGTTCCTCATCGTCCTCCCTGCAGGGAGCCTGCTTCTCCCTCTGCCTGTGTCTCTCCCTCTCTCTGTGTGTCTCTTATAAATAAATAAGTAAAATCTTTAAAAAAAAAAAAAAAAAGAAGGAAAAGGAAAAGGAAAGGATGATGGCAGGCAGGGGATGGGTCCGTGTGGGTGGTGAAATTCACCAAGGACAGTGGCAGGAATTAGGAAGGAGGGAAGGATGGTGAGCCAGAGCTCAAGCCTCTAATGCATGGTGATTGGTGACATGGAGATGGGTGGGTGACAGAGACAAGACAGTGGGGGAGTCAGATGGTGCTTGCTGCCAGAGAGCAGGACTTTTTTTTTTTTTTTGAGAGCAGGACTTTTGAAGGAGGGAGGGGAACAGTCCCCAGCATCTCCCATCTAAAGCTTTTCCATCTCGGAGCTATTTATTGAATAAACGACTGAGCACTTGGCACGAAGCACACTACTTTTACGACTCATAAAAATAGTAGCAGCTAACTGTACTAGTTTACCACCCGCCAGGCACTATTCTGAGACTTCCACAAATTAGCGCATTTAATCATGACAACATTCCTATGAGGTACATACTATTATCAGCCCCATCTTACAGTTGAGGAGGCGGAAGCACAGAGAAGTTAAGTAACTTGCTTAACCTCACACAGCTAGTCAGTGGGGAGAATGAGATGCAGAAACAGGCCCCGGCACTTGAACTTGGCCACAGCACTACACTACCTCTCTAAATGACAGATGGAGATGCTCTTGGGCTCGCAGAAGAGAGATGATCACAGTATAGAGCTATAGGTGCTGTGGAAGCAACCCCAAGGAGGAGCACCTATATGAAAAGGGGTGAGATGATCAAAGGAGACTTCCTAGAGGAGGAGCTTCTTGAGTTGGGTCTTGATGGACAAACAAGATCACCAGGTGATGAAGGGCGTAGGGAGCAGTCTTCTTGGGGCATGTCACAAAGGTGGAGTAATTGAAAAGAAGACAATGCCCATTCAGGAACCCACGAGACATATATCCAACTACTACCCTGTTTCCACTTGGACTGCAAGCATGGCATTTTAAACCTCCCAGGTCCCAACCTGAGCTCCTGACCTTCCCCCACAAAATCCGCCCGTCTTGCCATTTTCCGCAATGAAGTTAATGGCACCTCCAACTTTCCTACCACTGAGACCAAAAATGTTGGGGTCTTTAACTCCTCTCCATCACACCCCACACCTGAGTTGTCAATGGGCCCCAATGGCTCTGCCCTTTGTCTATATCCAGAAGTCACCACTTCTCACCATGTCCTTTGCTGTCACTTGGTTCAAGCCACCATTGCTACTTGTCCTTGTTCCTGCTGTAACCGCCTAATAGGTCTCCCTGCTTACACCTCAGTCATCACAATAGCTAGTGTTCCTCTTAAAAGGTAAGTCAGGGATGCCTGGGTGGCTCAGCAATTGAGCATCTGCCTTTGGCTCAGGGCATGATCCTGGAGACCTGGGATCGAGTCCCGCATCATGCTCCCTGCATGGAGCCTGCCTCTCTCTCTGTGTGTGTCTCTCATAAATAAACAAAATCTTTAAAAATAAATAGATAAAAGGTAAGTCAGAGCATGTCACTTCTTGGCTCCAAGCTGCCAATGGCTTCCTTTCTTGGAGAAAAGCCAGTATTTTTTTTTTTTAAGATTTTATTTATTTGAGAGAGAGCACAAGCAAGGAGAGACAGAAGCAGACACCCCACTGAGCAAGGAGCCCCACATGGGACTCGATTCCAGGACCCTAATATCATGACCTGAGTCAAAGGCAGATATCCAACTGCTGCTAAGCCACCCAGGCACTAGGCCAGTCTTTATTTTTTTTAATCAAAAATTTTTTTATTATTAATGAGAGAGAGAGAGAGAGAGAGAGAGAGAGAGAGAGAGAGAGAGGCAGAGACACAGGCAGAGGGAGAAGCAGGCTCCATGCAGGGAGCCTGACGTGGGACTCAATCCCTTGACTCCAGGATCAGGACCTGTGCCGAAGGCAGGTGCTAAACCGCTGAGCCACCCAGGCTGCCCCAGGCAGTCTTTATAATAACCTACAAGGCCCAGGGTACCTCTGTGGCTCAGTTGGTTAAGGATTTGCCTTGGGTTCCTGTCATGATCTTGGGGTCCTGAGATCCTGCCCCATGTTGGGCTCCCAGTTCAGAAGGGAGCTTGCTTCTCCCTCTCTTCACCCAATCCTGCCCGGCCCCACCCCCCAGCTGATGCCATCTTTGATAAAAAAAATCTTTAAAAAAATATAAACCTACAAGGCCCTACATCTTCCATATCCCTCTTATGTTGTTTCTTGCTATTTTTCCTTTCCCCCACTCTCCTCTAGCTACAATGAGCTCTGAGCCAGTCCTGAAACATGCAGGCCTGCTTCTGCCTCAGGACCTTTGCATACACTGTTCTGCCTCAAATGCCTTCCACTGGATCCCATGGCTCAGGTCTCACCTCCTTTAGGATTCTTTTTTATTTTTTTTATTTTATTTTTTTTAATTTATTTATGATAGGCACACAGTGAGAGAGAGAGAGAGGCAGAGACACAGGCAGAGGGAGAAGCAGGCTCCATGCACCGAGAGCCCGACGTGGGATTCGATCCCGGGTCTCCAGGATCGCGCCCTGGGCCAAAGGCAGGCGCTAAACCGCTGCGCCACCCAGGGATCCCTAGGATTCTTTTTTAAAGATTTTATTTATTTATTCATAAGAGAAACACAGAGAGAGACAGAGACAGAGACACAGGCAGAGGGAGAAGCAGGCTCCATGCAGGGAGCCTGACATGGGACTCGATCCTGGATCCCCAGGATCAGGCCCTGGGCTAAAGGCGGTGCTACTGCTGATTCTATTCAAATGTCATCATCTCAGAGAGGCCATCTGTGACCAACCAATTTACATTGACAACATTCCATTCTTTGGGAATCCTTTTTGTCCTTCTCTACTTTTTTATACTTAGCACTTATCACCTCCTAACATACTATTTAACTTATCCACCTCCACCTACTAGAATGGGAATCCCACGAAGGCAGGAATTTTTGTCTGTTAAATTCACCATTCTACCCAGTACATAAAACAGTGACTGGCACTAAATGCTAAAAAAAAAAAAAAAAAAAAAAAAAAAAGTTGAATGAAATGAATTATTTTTACAGGGGCTGTCTTCCCAACTTCCTGTTATGGAATCTTTTTTTTTTTTTTTTTTAATTTGAGTGATCTTTGCCTATTTTTGGTCTCTTGGCACCTCTTGTGTTCTTCAGGAATTACCAATTGCTCCTTGAGGACGATTCCAAACAGTGCTATGAACAGAGTCTCTGTAGCAGCAACGTTTATCTTACTCCCTCAAGTTTGAAGGTCACATTCTTCAAGGAAAGTAGAGAAGGAATTGAATGGCTTTGTCTTTTCATGGTCACTTGTTAATATTATCTCATCTCTTCTGAGCCCAGGACTAATTTTGTATTAGTCTTATTTTCTTGCTAAAAACGCCATGGTTGGGACGCCTGGGTCCCCATAGCATTTTTTTTAAACAACTGATTACGGGCAATAATGCTATACTCTTGTAGCCCTCTAAAATAATGCAATTATGCTATACTCTTGTAGCCCTCTAAAAATATTTTTTATTAGCTGAATGACTCTTGAATAATTTATTCATTCAACAGACATCTATATTATATCTTGGGAATATTGCTGGGAACCAACACAGCCCCCAGAGCTTACATGTTAGAGGCACAGGCAGTGAAGTGCTGGCATATGAACACAGTTCTCAAAGAGTGGTAAATGCTGAGGAAAAGAAACAAGGCCTAGGAGGAAGGGCTACTTTAAACAGGGTGATCCAGGATGCTTCTCTGGGATGACATTCAGGCTGAAAGATGAGAAGTGGGCCATTTCAGGATCTGCGGGGAAGGGTATTCTCAGTAGAGGGATCAGCTACTGTGAAGGTCCTAAAGTGGAAATAGCTTTGGGTGTCCTAAGCATAACAAGGCCAGTGTAGCGAAGTGGTCAAGGAGGGAGAGGTCAGAGGAAAGCAGGGGTCAGAGCAGGTCACACTGCAGTGTGGGAGGGGCTGTGGGCAGGTAGGTGACAGGGGAAGCAGGGATGCATAAGGAGGCTGTGAGCAAGCGAGGAGTGAGTGTGGTGGGGACTGGGTGAGCACAAGTGGAGATGGACAGGGCAGGAATGAGGGTAGTCTGAGAGTCTCTTTAGGGTGGGGCCACAAGATTTGCTAAGGACCAGAGTATGAGGCAGCACAGGGAAATGGGCATGCTCCAGCGAGAGATGAGGAAACAGCTTGTGGCAGAATCAGGGTCCAGCTCCTGACCTGGACCTTCTCCTCTCTCCAGCTTTGGAAGCAGGATGCTGCGGAGAGTTCTGGTCTACTTCTAGAACATGGGGGGCTTTGGGGTTGTGAGAACTCAGACTAGAAAGCAAGAGGAGGTAAACTCCGGGGAGGACAGAAGAAATTTCCAGAATCAGGAGCCAGGGTACTTCCTGACAGTGGAGCTTGGAGCTGGATGTTTCCTTCCCTCCACCACACTGCCACCCAGTGGTGTGGAGTCAGACTGCAAGGGCACGACATACCCGGTAACCCAGCTTTTTCTGTCATCCCAGGTCTTTAAGTGGACAGGAAGCAATTCTTTCTTTGTGAAAGGAGACTTGGATTCACTGATGATGGGCAGTGGCAGGTGCGTGGCTCCGTCCTCCCCAAGTCTGGAGTCGGGGTAGTCTGTGTTCTGGTCTCTCTCCCATCTGGAAATGCTGGGCTAGGCTGCCCCAGATGAGGCTGGTGGTAAACTTCCAGGCTTCTCCCTTCAACATCAGCAGCGACAGGAGGGGGGTGGAGTGAGGGGTGGGGGTGAGGGAGGGGGGCAGGGGGTTATCCTCCAAAGTGTTTAGGTTGATGACAGCTTTGTCTGAATGTATGTGATTTGGAGAACAGCATTCCTCCACATGGTTGTCTGAGGCAAGTCAAGGGATGGGAGGCTAGATCAGGAAACCACTCACTGGAGGAAGGCCAGGCATCTGCCCAGGAACCTGGTGCAAGTGTGTGCGTGCACGCGCGCCTGTGTGTTAGGAAGAAAAAGTTAGCCTTACTACTGGTGAAACCTCCACATTCAGGCAGAATAAATCTTATCTTGAAGGCAAAGATGAAAGCAGTACCAGGCAAGTTCCTTGCCCTCCCAGCTGTCTGAAGAGCCTCTACTGAGACAGTGTGGCACAGAACACACCAGCCATTGCTGATTTGCAGTAACCCACTTCCCAGCCCCAGCCTGGTTTGCCATCAAATGAGGGGATTAGAGTGGATGCTTTCTGAAGTAGTTTTTGGGCTGAGTCCATGCCTGAAGATTCACTCCTTCGGTTAAGCATTGCCATCTTTAAAATGTTCCACATGTTCTAAAACTGGATTGTGGTGATGGTTGCACCAATGTATATATTTATTGAAATCACTTAACTATAAAAAAAAAGTGCTCCAAATCCTATGGGGGACCAACATGTGGAGTTCCCAATAATCTGGATAAATTGGTTTAAAGGAAGATTAAACAGACAAAACTGAGCTGTGGTCATGGTGAAGCCAAAGGCTGGTGGTGTAGACCTGGAAGGTCAACCTCCAGGAGTTGAGTCATGCCAAGATTTTCCTCTTCTCTTTAGTGGCCAGTTTGGGCTGTGGTTGGATGAAGACTTGTATCATGGGGGAAGCCATCCTTGTGCAACTTTCAACAATGAGGTGCTGGCCCGGCAGGAGCAGTTCTGCATCAAGGAGCTGGAGGCCTGGATCCTGAGCTGATGTCCCCATGGTGGGCAGCTTCCTAAAGCAACAAATGCTCAGACCTGCTCATGAATGCCATCTAGACCCTCTTTAGAGAGCGCTGCCCATTTTCTCCAAAATCTAGAAGACTGGCTGTGACCATACCTCTCTGTGGCCTGGGGACCCAAGACAGGCATGGAAGCAAATAATGTTCTCCTGGAGAGGTGACTCTGAAGGAGTGAAAGGTATTCACACCTCATCTGAGCAGCACAAAGTCCCTGATGAAATTTCTTTTTATTTATTTATTTTTTAAAGTAAGCTTCATGCCCAGCATAGGATTTTGAACAAAGGACCCTGAGATCAAGAGTCACATGCTTCACTGAGCAAGCCAGGCACCCCCTGAAATTTCTTTTTAGGAATTATACAACTAATACATGTTTATTGTAGAAAAAACAAAAGACTTAAAAAAAATTAAAATTGCCTAAAATTCAACCACCCCCAAAACATTAACATTTTCATTTTCATATATACCTTTCCAGATAATTTTCCATGGAGATATGTGTGTGTGTGTGCATATATATCTTATAAAAATGGGATTCTATTCTGTATGTCTTATTTATTTTTTAAAGTTTTTTTTAAATTTTTATTTATTTATGATAGTCACACACACACACACACACAGAGAGAGAGAGAGAGAGAGAGAGGCAGAGACATAGGCAGAGGGAGAAGCAGGCTCCATGCACCGGGAGCCCGACATGGGATTCGATCCCAGGTCTCCAGGATCGCGTCCTGGGCCAAAGGCAGGCGCTAAACCGCTGCGCCACCCAGGGATCCCTATTCTGTATGTTTCAGAAATCATTTTAACTTAATACTATCAAACCACAGACACCTGGACTCAACTGGTGAAACTAATAGACTTCAGTAGCATCTTTCCTTTTCTAGTACATTGAACACTTCTTGTCTGCCACCAGTATGCTGGGTGCTTACAAATCTCTAATTTCACAAGGAAGATATGAAAGCAGCAAATGAACAATATGCCTATTTGGATAAAGAAGTTGAATCTCTGTAGGTGGGGTCGGACCTAGGGCAGGTTAAAAAGGAGGAAAGAGATGTTTCCTGACACAAGAGCTCAGGAAATGAATAAACATCCATATCCCTTCCTGTGACAATGCTTGCCTCCTGCCAGAAAACCAAGTAAGTCCTGCTAAATATCATCTCCTCTCCTGCAAACTGAACATAGCGTGGACATAGTCAGAAACATCTGGTAGATTCCTAGAAACATTTCCTTTGCACAAAAGGGTCCTGATTAGGCACACAAGTGTGAGAGGACATCAATAAGGAAAAGACTTTTGGTTTCAAGATGGAGATACATTCATGAAGCTTTATTGCAGCTGTTTCCCTCACCCAAATGAAGTAACCAACCACTTAAACTCGCAGTTCTACTTACATTCTCAAGGTGAAAATAGTTCAGTAACTCTAGAGGTTAAGTTGTTAAAAATCTCAGTTTTTATACAAATAGCGAAGGTGTTTCTTAAGAAAAATTTAACCTTGTAAATGGTACATGTTTCTGATCATTAAAACAGTTGCAAAGAGCATAAAGTGCAGCTGACTTATATGTAAAGGATGCAAACAAAGTAGATTCAAGTTATTTCTTAGCACAATGACACAATATTGAAATCATAAAATTCCAGAGTAAACCACAATGATTTAAAGATAGAAGTTACAGAAATAAAAACAGTATTAGCAGAAAAACATTACATTCTTGACCTTGGGTCTGGGTACGCTAAGTCTTAGCCCTCTAGCTCCCCCCACTGAATGTTTTAGAGGAAGCTTGGCCAACACAGATATGACCCGTTCCATGGCTGACTTCATTTATGCTTCTAGGAGCCCACATGTGGACACATCTCACCCACATAGAATTATGGTGGAAGTGGGACGGGTTTTAATTATCCTCCTATGAATTAGGGTCAACTCCTGATCATCTTCTGGGGGATGGAGGAGGGTGGTGGTGGTAATACAGAATGGCAGACACTTTTCAGCCTAGTATCAACAGAACCGAACCTGGTTACATAGTGGAAGGTAGCAGCACTCCTAAGACTGGATAACTGCTACTGTGGTCTGAGTTCCTTCCTTCCTCCCAATTGCTCTTGCCCAGAGTCAGGGCTGGATCCCCAATCCTGGCCTGCCATGGAGGCTTTTGTAAGGGAGTGTCGAAGCTTAGGATGTAAAGGGCTTATGACTCCCATTCTCCACTGCCCTGAATCTACAGGATCCTTTGGCTGCCACTAGCTTTGGCTCTAACTCCAGACTTTATTCTTGGTAAAGTTCTATAGAACAGGCAATTAATTGTAGGTATATGGAGGTGGGGGTGGGTGCCCTTTGCACCGAATTGCTCAACCACAGTGGTGCCTACTCCACTGCAAGGTAAAGAACAAGCGTGGGGGAATACTGGGCTACAAAGGGTAACTCAGAATTGTAGGGATAATCACTCATCTCATCTCAGCAAGCTCCATCTTTGCGCTGAAACCCATAAAATGCACACTGAACAAGCAAAAACAAAATCCCAGCTCTGAATAGCCCCAAGAATGGCTTCTGTGACAACCTCTGATCAGTTTACAAGGGAAATTCAGACAGAAGGTTGGAAGGGAGCCTTCTCCAGGCCAAACCAGTGATAGTGACAAAGACCTTGGGATATGGGAAGCAAGTATTCAGGAGAAAGAAACTGCCCAGGTCTGGGGCTGCAACTGACCCAGAGAACAGCTTGGCTTGGGGGATTCCTCTGCCACAGAGGGTAGAGGTCCCTTCAGAGGCAGTCTTATGTCCCACTTCAGGGGAGACCAGAGCCCTCAGATCTTTTCAATAAATTAATCAGGCCTCTCAGGAGTTGAAGGTCCTCATTTCCTACCATTTAGTCCAACCTAGCTAAAAGGGTAAGGAAAGGCCTTTCACTAACATTTCGATCACTTAAGAAGAATTGTCCTCAAAAAAAAAAATTAAAAAAAAAAAAAAGAATTGTCCTCAAATTTGAAGTGATGGCTACGTCCCTCAAGAGGCTAAGATTTTATGTTTTGTTCTTAACCATAGCTGTTTATGATAGTCCCAATGTTAAATTCCAATGTGCACCTTCTCTCATTTCCAAACTTAAAAAAAGCAACAATCATATGTCATAAGAGTTCAGAGTACATAAAAAAACTTTTTTTGTTATTGTAAGAAAATAAGACTACTAGAAGAGAAAGACTTTAGTTAGGGTTAAAATGGGTAACACTTTCCAGCATGTATAGCAAGATTTGTCTAATGCCTTTCATTTCTTTGGATAAAAATACTTCAGCATATGTGTACATTCAAAATACAAAAAGCACTAGTTATCACTAAAATTTGTAGAACTCCACGACCAAATTCCCTACGCTAGTTAATACTGTTGGGGGACAGGGAAGAGAGCTTTATGTAAACAAATGGTTGCAAACATTCACATTGAGTCATCCTGAAAAAGCCGGAGTTTAAATTTGGACCTTTCTCGGAAGTGATCTGGGCTCTGGGCTGAATCCACGTTATTCCACTCCGCTTTTCGAGGTGTTATAAGTGGGGCCACCACATCACCATCCTGTTAAGAAAAGAAAAACCAGGAACAAAGAAAAGCCAGTTTTCATAATTCTGAATGAAATCCTCAGGTGCACAAATCCTTGTCTTGCAGACAGATTGCTTCTAGATTGCTTCTAGACTCTTGGGAAACCCTAAATTATATATATGCTCTGTGCTTGGATCAAATTAGGAACACCACAGTCCTACATAGGAAAAGCTATCAGACCTACTCTTTTTTTTTTTTTTTAAGATTCTATTTATTTATTCATTTATTCATGAGAGATACAGGAAGAGAGAGAGAGAGAGGCAGAGACACAGGCAGAGGGAGAAGCAGGCTCCATGCAGGGAGCCCGATGCAGGACTCGATCCCGGGACTCCAGGATCACGCCCTGGGCTGAAGGCTGGCGCTAAACCGCTGAGCCACCCAGGGATCCCAGACCTACTCTTTTCAAAGATGGCCAGAAGTAGCACGCTCACTGCTCAGTTCTGACCCTCTCCCTTCATACACTTTCAGAAAACACAACTCTATTTTTCTATTTTTGAAAATACCAATTATTTTTTTAACAATTTTATTTACTTATTCATAAGAGACACAGAGAAAGGGACTCATATTTGGAAGACCCTTCTAGTTCAAAGACATCATTTGCCTTTAAACTCCTCTCTATTTCTATCGAGCACACTTATTTCTACCCATTCTAATTGCAACTCTAGTGAATTTCATAAATACAAACTTGAATGTCACTCTCCTGCTTAAAACACTTCAATGGCTTCCATTGCCCTAGGCCTAGAGAACTATGCAAAATCTCCTGGACCTCTCCCCTAAAGGCATCATGTTCTCACTCATCTTCTGGCCTCCTGCCTCCACCTTTACCCAGCTGACTTCTTCTCAACCATCCTTCAGGTCTCAGCTTCTAAGTCTTTCTTTTTTTTTTTTTAGCTTTCCTTTTTTTTTTTTTTTTTTTAATGATAGTCACAGAGAGACAGAGAGAGAGAGAGAGAGAGAGAGAGAGAGAGAGAGAGGCAGAGACATAAGCAGAGGGAGAAGCAGGCTCCATGCAGGGAGCCCGATGTGGGATTCGATCCCGGGTCTCCAGGATCGCGCCCTGGGCCAAAGGCAGGCGCTAAACCGCTGCGCCACCCAGGGATCCCCTAAGTCTTTCTTAAAATAAGCTCTTCCCAACCAACCAAGTATGGCTTAAATCCTTCCCGTTTTGGCTCCTCTAAGACTCTGCACACTGCCCCCTACCCCAAAGCACTTACCACACCACAATAATTGTTATTTACTTATGTGTCTGTTATCCCCAACCAGAGTGTGATCCTTGGGAACTATCTCCGTCTTAGGTATTGTTCCATCTCTGGTACATAACATAGGACCTGGCAAAAATCCTTATTCAATGAGAGAATGTATATAGTTTTAAAGGAGTTACTGCCAGATGGCTGAACTTCAACAGCCTCTTGTCATTCTACTTCTAGCCTCTCCAAGTTCTAATCCATTTGAAGTTAGAGTTTTCTTTCTTAATCAGTGGTTTAGTTTCCTTGGGTGCTACAGTACCTAAGACAAAGACATACTTCCTCGTGCCCATGGGTTTCTTCCTAGTTGGAGATAACGAATACAGAAGTAATTATAGCACACAAGGTATTCCTTCCCCACTGTTCATAAGAAGTCTTCTTTCTTAGCCATTTATCCAAAGTTCTCCATAATCTAGTCTATTCTTCCCATTTAACCTCTCCCCACTCAATAGTAAGAATTCTCTGTCCATGCAGCAGGTCTCTTCAAGGCCCCCAAATACACTCCACTTGTTCCAGTTTCATACTACCAGGTCACTCCCATTGCCAATTATGTCCACCTCTTTCCCTGCTGCTCAACCAAACACAATCCAGCCTAACGGATCTAGTAGAATCCCTTCTTCGAAAGGCTTTCCGACAGCTCTCTTAACTCTTAGAATCCTAACACAACTCATCTGATCATTCTTTTTGGTACTTGATAAAGTACCAACTACTGGGCTGCTCCTTCATTTTTGTTTCCTTCAGCACACAATGCATGGGAGGGTGGGGAAAGGCAGATATGGTGTTGTGGGAGAGAGTACTGGGCTAGGAAGTAGAACACAGCTTCCCACTTGCCTGTCAATTATCTTATTCAGACAGTCAACAAATATCAAATAGCCACTTTCTCTGTGCCAGGCACCTGCCATATCTAGGCCAGTAAGGGACAACTTTAACAACATTCACTATAGGATTCTCAACTACAATTTGGCTCCTCTTCCTCTCCATTGTCTTATTCTAGGCTATTTATGTATTTATTATAAAGATTTTATTTATTCACAGAGAGGCAGAGACACAGACAGAGGGAGAAGCAGGCTTTTCACATGGAGTCCGATGTGAAACTCAATCCCTGGACCCAGTATCATGCCCTGAGTCGAAGGCAGATGCTCAACTGCTGAGCCACCCAAACATCCCTATGTTAGACAATTTAAATAGTTTACAGTTTTAGGAATGCTGAGTGTGAAATAAATTAGAAAACTTATTATCACTTGTATGTGGCCTTAAACAATTTAACTACTCAGCTTTGGTAACCTTCTCTGAAAGATAAGGACACTATGACTCATTTCCCAGCTCGCTGGGAAGAGTGCAGACAACTGGTGAGAACATTATAAAGTACTATCACATGTTCACCATTGTGAACTTTTAGTATTAGGATAATAATGATAAACAGGATACCCACTCACAATTGGTGTAGGAAGACATTGCTAGTTGACATAGAGTCAAGCATTTTAAAAGGAAAGCTTAAAAAAAAAAAGAAAAAAAAGGAAAGCTTAAAGTGGAAAACATTTTTTCCCCCAAAATAACCAAATGACTGTAATTTGAGAACTTTTCAGAGGGAAGTAAAGATGCCTTTGGTTTTTACTTAAAAATCAAAAAATGTGCAACACAAGTGAATAATAAACCACCTACCTGCGGCTTGGTGAAGTCTCTGATTAAGCACCAATGAACGAAATGTTGTTTCACAGCAAACAATGTGTTTGCATCAGTCTTCTTACAGTATACACGAATTAGCTGCTCTGCAAATCTCTCTGGCAAAAATTCTGAAACCTTTTCAAAGAAGAAGAGATTTACTGTCATCTTGAATTCATACATTGAAGAGAGGTCAGCTTTCTTAAGCTCCATTTATTTTTATTTTATTTATTTTTTATTTTATTTACTTTAAAGATTTTATTTATTTATTCATGAGAGACACACAGAGAGAGAGAGGCAGAGACACAGGCAGAGGGAGAAGCAGGCTCCATGCAGGAAGCCCAATGTGAGACTCGATCGTGGGTCTCCAGGATCACACCCTGGGCTGAAGGTGGCGCTAAACCCCTGAGTCACCTGGGCTGCCCTCCATTTTTTTTAAAAGGTCTCATTCATTCATTCATTCATTCATTCATTTATTTATTTATGATAGTCACAGAGAGAGAGAGGGAGAGAGGCAGAGACATAGGCAGAGGGAGAAGCAGGCTCCATGCACCAGGAGCCCGACGTGGGATTCGATCCTGGGTCTCCAGGATCACGCCCTGGGCCAAAGGCAGGCGCTAAACTGCTGCGCCACCGAGGGATCCCAAGATCTTATTTATTTATTTGAGAGAGTGAGTACGTGCTCAAAGGAGCAGGGGGAGGGGTAAGGACAAGCAGACTCCCTGCTGTGTGCAGAGTCCAACACATGCTTGATCCTAGGGCCCTAAGATCATGATCTGAGGCAAAGTCAGATGCTTAACAGAGCCACCCAGGTGCCCCAGTTCCATTCTTGATGTTATATTAAAAACATCACATTATTTTGCCATTTTATCCCAATTGTCACCCAAGGAAAATAATTCAAGGTAGTTCTCATATTACAAAAATGCCCCAAAACGTTGTCAATTAATAAAAGACTAAAAGTTTGTATTATATAATTATTTGTAAACCACACTCTCATTAGAAGATATGCAGATTAAGAATATTTAACTTTCATGACTTCACCTTTACAACATTACTTTCCCATCAGATTTATAACCTAGCCTCTAAACCAAAAACAGTGCTTTCTTCTATGTTCAGCAAACAGGAAAAACTGGCTGTTAAGATGGTCCGGTCTACACAAAAATCAAGTATACTTCAATTTTTAAAAATTATTTTATTTATTCATTTATTTAAGGGAGAGAGGGCATGCATGAGCAGGGAGAGGGTCCAGAGAGGGGGAAAGGGAGAGGCAGAGAAACTCAAGCAGATTCTGTCCTGAACCCAATGTGGAGCTCAATCTCATTACCCTGAGACCATGAACTGAGCCGAAACCCAGTCAGATGCTCCACCTGACTGAGCCACCCAGGTACCCCCAGATATATTTTAATTTTAAAAATAATCCCTCCCCCCCACCCCGCCACTGTTCACATTGACCTTAGAACCTAACTTGCATGTAAAAATGCAGATTTAGGGCAGCCCCGGTGGTGCAGCGGTTTAGCACCGCCTGCAGCCTAGGGTGTGATCCTGGAGACCGTGGATCGAGTCCCACATCAGGCTCTCTGCATGGAGCCTGCTTCTCCCTCTGCCTCTCTCTCTCTCTCTCTCTCTCACTCTCGCTCTCTCTGTGTCTCTAAGAATAAATAAATAAATAATCTTTAAAAAATAAATAAAAAATAAAAATGCAGATTTATCATAGGTTTGCCAAATGCTACTACAGTATATTTGTTTTACCTAAGTAGTTACCTGATCTTTAGTAATCATGACTGCTTTGCTGAGGTCACTCTTACAATAGAAGCGAACATGATCAATTGGATTCTTGTCTTCCATTCCATAATCCATGTTGATAACCTTAATAAAAGCAATAAATTAGTGATCACTCACCTAACAGTGAGAATTGAATTCAGGGTTGTAGGAGCATCACAAGAAATGGACCAGAGCTCTCTGGAGGTTCAGAAGTAAGAGCACTAATAAGGTAGCTCATAATAGAATAAAAATAACTGTGGTGCATGTGCCATAGGGATTTGGTCTTGAAATCTGGGTGGGTAAGGGAGGGATTTATGCTTTCAACATAAGTAGGGTATAAAGTCTATGCCTATGTGACAGCCACTGTGATAGGTACTATAGATACAAGGAAACCTGATACAATCCCAACCCCCACAGTGTAGCCTAGACTGAGGTTGAACAAATAATTATAAAAGTAATTATCTAACTACATTTATTCTAAGAGCTACCAAGAAGCAAAGGGTGCTGTGAAACTTTTAACCAGGCAGCTAGGGCTCCTGGGAATGACTGAGAATGTTTTCCTGGGAAAGCGAGTAGGAATTAACCAGGTCTATCTATGCAGGAAGAAAAATAATTCTATGGGACACCTGGGTGGCTCGATGGTTGAGCATCTGCCTTCGGCTCATGGCATGATCCTGTAGTCCCGGGATCAAGTCCCATATCAGGCTCCCTGCTTGGAGCCTGCTTCACCTCTGCCCATGTCTCTGCCTCTCTCTGTGTCTCTCATGAATAAATAAATAAAATCTTAAAAAAAAAAAAAAAAGAATTCTAGGCAGAATTCTAGTGGACAAGACTGACATGGTCCACTGGGTTAAGTAACACTGAAGTCACTGGTGAACTTGGAAGAATAGTTCTTTTTTTTTTTTTTTTTAAGATTTTATTTATTCATGAGAAACAGAGAGCAAGAGCGAGAGAGCGAGAGATTGAGGGGCAGAGACACAGGCAGAGGGAGAAGCAGGCTCCATGCAGGGAGCCCGATGTGGGACTTAATCCCGGACCCCGGGATCACACCCAGAGCCAAAGGCAGACGCTTAATCGCTAAGCCACCCAGGCATCCCAAAATTCAATAAAAAATTTAAGTTACCCAGTTGTAGTAGCCACGTTTCAAGTGCTCAACAACCACATGTGGTTGGTGGCTAACAAAACGGACAGCACAATTATAAAGCATTTCCAATATCACAGAAAGTTCTAGTGGACAGTCCTGGTCTAGAACACAATAGAAGGATTATCCTTAGCCTTTGAGAAGAAGACAGACATTTCCCCACTGTACCTGAGAGAGAAAAGGAGACATCTGAGATTCAGCTATGGTCCAGAAGTGAGACCAGGGGGTGCGTCTCCCAGTGTGTGTGTTCTACTGGCTTTAAGAGCTTCAGTGAGTGTTCTACATCCCTTTACCTGGGAGAGAGCAACTGCTGGGTTCTCCCCATGATCCCGAGGCTGGAGCTATCATAGGCTTCTCTCCTCGGTGTTGTTTCATGGGGGGGAGGGACTCGATGTAGCTTCAACATTTTTATACACGGTAAGGCATGAACACTAATCAAATTTTCAGAAACTTTCAGAAGTGCCACAAGCTCTTTGGTATTTATTTCCTTGGTTTTAGACTAGAAATAAAATGCAATTCCTAGTTTCTCCAAAATGTATATAACTAGAAATTCCTACTTAAAGCAAATTTGATGAAGCAGTTATTTTTCCAGAAGGGCAAGACTATAATTATTGGAGTTCCCTTTTTGTTAACTAAGGACTCAAGAGCAAAAAAGTAGCTACTGATCAACAATGGTGAATTTTTAATTCTAAATAGTAATATTAAGTTTTATAGCCTTGGGCAGCCTGGGTGGCTCTGCGATATAGCACTGCCTTTGGCCCAGGTTGAGATCCTGGAGACCTGGGATCGAGTCCCACGTCAGGCTTCCTGCATGAAGCCTGCTTCTCCCTCTGCCTGTGTCTCTGCCTCTCTCTCTGGGTCTCATGAGTAAATAAATAAAATCTTAAAAAAAAAAAAGTTTTATAGCCTATTAAGTAATCATAAAAGTTACTACACACAGTCCTAAAAGGAGGCACATGTAGTAATATGCACCGCATAAATACATTCCACCATCAAACTAGAATTGAGAGGCTAATACATGATAAGACACTTAATTAGATTTTAATTGCTTTGTCAGAATATAAAAGGGCTTTACTCATCCTAACCCCATCTTGACCCATCTTTTCCTGATTATGAAACTCTTGTACCATACTCCCTGTAAAAAAAGAAAAAGTTACCCACAATTCCACCACCCAGGTAGAAACAATGTCAACATTTTACCAATACATCCAGAATTTTTTTTCACTGTGCTCACTGAATGTGTACATACATTTAAAGAAACAAAAATAAAATCATTGAGTGTATTGCTTTTTCAGTTAAACAGTATCTTCCCATGTTAAAAACAACTTTTAATGTCTGCATTATTCTACTGTATTTCCTATTGAGAGATATATACTTTCCTCTCTTATTTTACACTATAACAATGCCACAATATATAGATTTGTGTGTTATTTTGCTTTTTGTGTGTGTGTGGTTTTTTTTTTTTTAATTATTATTATTAATTATCTCCTTAGGACAAATTCCTAGAATGAAATTGATGGATTGCTGGGTTGGTTAACATCGACCTTAATTTTTTTTAATTTTTTTAAATTTATTTATGATAGTCACACAGAGAGAGAGAGAGAGAGAGGCAGAGACATAGGCAGAGGGAGAAGCAGGCTCCATGCACCGGGAGCCCGATGTGGGATTTCATCCTGGGTCTCCAGGATTGCGCCCTGGGCCGAAGACAGGCGCCAAACCACTGTGCCACCCAGGGATCCCCTTAATTTAGTCTTTTATCTTACAGTCCCATTTTCACATACCTTTATCATAACAAAATCTTAAACAACTTTTTGTTCTTACATGTCTGATAGTAAAAAAAAAAAATCTTTCATGGCTTCGTCAATTTGCCTTTAGGTTAAAGCAAGCTTAAACGTGTGTGTTGTCTTTTCCTATGTCTCTTCAAGTACTTCTGATCCTATATTCATTAGCAGACTGCACTCTGAGAGAAAACCAGATGGGAGGTCAGGGATTGGCTAGGATAGTACAACGAGTTGCGAGCAATACAGCTTCCCCAGTAAAGTACTGAGGGCAAGGGTAGACGTGGACAACTCAGGGAAAACATTCTGAAGAGTAAGTTCTTTCAGAATCTCAGAAACTCAAAACTTCAGAAAGTCCCTTTATTCTAGTATAATTTCATCTAACGGACAGGAAACTGTAACCTGATCTGCAAGTGTGAGACACTTCAACCCTCAGCCAAGTGAATAGACTGAGCCCAAGGACAATTCACTTGTATATCCCTTGGCAAAGAGTAGTTATGGAGAGATCACCCTTTATCAAAAATGCATCAACAAGAAAACAGCAAATGAGAGGCTTATGGAAAAAGAATACATGGGGAACACTCTGTCCCAAGATTTCAGAGGAGTAGAACTCTGAAAAGCAGTTCCTATAATAAACAAAAGAAAATGTGAGAAAGCCATTTGGCATTCTTGATAGGATACAAGACACTATAGCTGCTATGAAGGAGTTAAAAAGTCTTTTTCCTTTGTGTAGACAATTAAAAAAAAATAATTGGCATATATTACTTTTGTGTTTAAAAAACAGTCAAAAATCAATATATGCAATGTTCTGCTAACCACGTGATCACAATTACATTAAAAATATCAATGTCAAAGAAAAATTTAAAAATTGGTTAATGTTGATTCTTTGAGGTCACAGGTGATTCTCTTCTTTCTAGTTTTCTGTATTTTCCAAATTTTCTTTAATGAACATGTACCACTTTTATAAGGGAAGGAGGATGGCATTATCTTAAAAAAAATTCTTTACTTAGTATCTTTTCAGGCTAACTACTTACATCCACTATTAAATCTTCAGCCTTCAGTTCAGCTTCTAGTGGTATGTCACTAGGTTTAGCCCTGGCAATTTCCTCTGGAAGGCTTTTATAGTTTTCCTAGAAAAGACAAGACTCATGTTAGAACCTCAGTTTTTCATCATTAAGCATTTATGCCACAAAAATTTCCCTCTCTGAAAATGACACTTCACTAGGAAAAGTGGGTTGAGATATCCCTAACAAATACATGGCTTCTGCTTATGCCATCCTTCACACAAACCACAATAGAGTGATTCTCTGAACAAAATTTTTACATTGAAAGAAAATGTGGCATTGACCCATTACTAAAATGAGAGGAAGGGGATCCCTGGGTGGCGCAGCGGTTTGGCGCCTGCCTTTGGCCCAGGGCGCGATCCTGGAGACCCGGGATTGAATCCCACGTCGGGCTCCCAGTGCATGGAGCCTGCTTCTCCCTCTGCCTATGTCTCTGCCTCTCTTTCTCTCTCTCTGTGACTATCATAAATAAATAAAAATTAAAAAAAATTAAAAAATAAAATAAAATGAGAGGAAAGTGTTACAAGGAAGGGTGTGGTTATCAGTATGGCTCCTGTTACTGGCTTTCTGCCAAAGAGAAAAACCTTCTACATGCAAGAGAGGAAAACATACAAATATTTGGCATGCACCATCTGGGAGAACCTGATATAGTGTGAAAGAAGAAATTAGTGAACAGCAGGTGCTTAGAGTCTCAGTGAAGCTCATGCAGATACCTTATTTTGAGGCTCCATTTTCTTGCCTTTGGATCTAGCCAAAATTTGGGGCCCCCCTCCCACTTCTGGGATGAGAGACTAAAGGTTTGGATGAAGTGAGACTTGGTTTTGAATACTGGCTCACTAACTGTGTTTCCATAGGGAAGTTATGTAATCTCTTCCAAGCCTCAGTTCCTTTATCTACAGGACAGACCAAAGGACACGTTACTGATGAGAAGATTAGGTAAAAATGAATGTAAAGGTCTTAGAACAGAGTTGTGGTATTATGGTGGGTTAATGGATTCCTCTTGGAGGACAAATGAGAGAGAGACCTTTTACTAATGGAAATGCATTTGACAACACAACTTACCCTTTCAATTCTTATTTTTCCCTTTGGCTTAGTCTCACCCACATACTTGTATAGATCACGGTATTCGATTTTTTTTAAAATCTCTCGTGCTTCATTCAGGTTAGGATCAGAAGAATATAAAATCTCCAGAAAAATGTTATCTGCCAATTTGATAAAATTTCAGTTATATTAAGATGGAAAAAGATTTTTTTTAAGATTTTATTTATTTATTCATGAGCGACACACACACACAGAGAGAGAGAGAGAGAAAGAGAGAGAGAGAGGCAGAGACACAGGCAGAGGGAGAAGCAGGCTCCATGCAGGGAGCTCGATGTGGGTGGGACTCGATCCCAGGTCTCCAGGATCATGCCCTGGGCTGCAGGGGGCGCCAAATCGCTGCGCCACTGGGGCTGCCCGGAAAAAGAGACTTAAAAAGACTCATATGCTACTGTACTTCTGAAAGGATTTCAAGTGGACATTTATAAATATAGGCACAGTAGAACATTCAATATCTTGGATTTGCTTCAAGATAATCTAGAGAATGGGAGAGGCTAGAGATGAAGCAAGACTGTACTGAAGTTGATGGCTTATGGCTGGGTGTTGGGTAAATAGGGGTGTATACATTTGTTGTGTTTTGTTTTGTTTTCTTAAAGAGAATGATATTTAAGTAATTATAAAATTACATCTGAGATCTGCTTCAAAATAGCCGAGTGTCTTATGGAAGTGGGTGGATGGAGTAGATGAAGCAAAACTGCCATGTTGATCATTGTTGCAGCTAAGTGATGGGTATGTGGAATTTGTAAATTTCATAATAAAAAGTTTTATAAAGTTCTATTCCATGATAAAAGCAGAAGAATGGGGGTGCCTGGGTAACAGACACACTTGGCTAAGCACCTGCCTTCAGCTCAGGTCATGATTCCGAGGTCCTGGAATCGAGCACCACTTTGGGCTCCCTGCTCAGCAGTCTGCTTTTCTTAAATTTTTCCTTTTTTTTTTTTTTTTTAATTCATTCATTCATTCATTCATTCATTCATTCATGAAACAGAGGGGGAGAGAGAGAGAGAGAGAGAGGCAGAGACACAGGCAGAGGGAGAAGCAGGCTCCACGCTGGGAGACTGACATGGGACTCAATCCAGGGTCTCCAGGATCAGGCCCTGGACTGAAGGCAACACTAAACTGCTGAGCCACCCAGGCTGCCCAAGCAGTCTGCTTTTCTCTCTGCCTCTCCCTCTGCTTGTTCTCTTTCTCTCTCTCTGTCTCTGTCAAATGAATAAATAATCTTTTAAAAAAAAAGCAGAGATAGTTCTTTTTTCCTTTTAAGGTTATATTTTATTTTCTAAGATTTTATTTTGGGGATGCCCGGTGGCTCAGTTAAATATCTGACTTTGACTCTTGATCTCAGGATCCTGGAAGCAGGAAATCTGCTTCTCTCCCTCTGTCCTTCCCCTGACTTGCATGTGCGCACACGAACTCACTCATTCTAAAATAAGTATTAAAAAAAAAAAAAAACAATTTTACTTTAAAGTATTCTCTACACCTAATGTAGGACTCAAACTTACAACCCCAAGATCAAGAGCCTCATGCCCTACTGAGTCAGTCAGGTGCCCGAGAAAGTAGTTCTTTTTCTCTTCAACTCTTATTTTGAAAAAAATTCAAAATAAAATACCTTTCATCTAAATCCATCAACATTTTTCTACATATGCATATGCTGTGTATGTGTACACAAGTATTTTTGCACACATACAAATTTTTGATGAAATATTTGAAAATTATAGCCATCAAGCCCCTTTACTCTTCAATACTTCTGCATGTATCTCCCAAGAACAAGAACATTCTTCTACATAACCACTGTTATGCCTCCTTGCCTCCCACAAGGAGCCTGATGTGGAACTTGATCCTAGATCCCAGAATCATGCCCTGCAACGAAGGCAGACACAACTGCTGAGCCACCCAGGCATCCCGAAAAATAGCAATTTTACTTTAACATAAGATCACACTTTTCTAATCCATGTCTTTAGCTACCCTATTCCCAGGTGAATTAATAGAATGCTTCTCCCATCATAGGATCTCACTTCTCAATTTTTAAAGTATTCTCTATACCCAAAGTGGGGCTCAAACTCACAGCCCTATGATCAAGAGTCACCTGGTCTACCAACCAAGCCAGCCAGGCATCCCTCACTTCATTTTTTGATTTCATTTTTTTAAAAGTAATCTCTAGGGACACCTGAGTGGCTCAGCGGTTGAGTGTTTGCCTTCGGCTCAGGGGTGATCCCAGGGTCTGGGATTGAGTCCTGCATCAGGCTTTTTGCAGGGAGCCTGCTTCTCCCTCTGCCTATGTCTCTGCCTCCTCTCTGTGTGCCTCTCATGAATAAATAAATAAATAATCTTAAAAAATTAGATAAAAAAATAAAGTGATCTCTGCACCTGACTCAGGGCTTGAGCTCACAACCCCAAGATCAAGAGTCACATGCTCTACTGAGTAAGCGAGCCAGGTGACCCAAAATCTTGGCACTTCTTGAAAGCCTACCTAAACACTGAAATTCATCTCAAAAGGCACCTCACTATGAAACCTTCCTTAATCTACCAACTAGAGATATAATTCCTCCCTCCCTTGAGCCCCATAGAATCTTACTGATACTTTTCTTATGCCTTTTACTTTATTCTGTAAGGTACAGACTTTTAGGTGGACTTATTTTCATTTCTATTAGGTAAGTAGGTAGAAGAGGCATTATTTGATCATAGGATATATATTTATATGAAAATGCTAAACTTTTTCAAAGTGGCTGTACAATTTGCATTGCCACCAGCCATGTGTGAAAGCTCTATTTGTTCCATATATTTGTGTTCAGAAAAGGATTATGTATAAAAGTTAAGCCAAGGGCAGCCTGGATGGCTCAGCGGTTTAGTGCCGTCTTAGGTACCCAGGATCGAGTTCCACGTCGGGCTCCCTGTGTGGAGCCTGCTTCTCCCTCTGCCTATGTCTGTACTTCTCTCTCTCTGTGTCTCTCAGGAAAGAAAGAAAGAAAGAAAGAATGAATGAATGAATGAATGAATGAATGAATGAATCTTTAAAAAATATAAAAGTTAAGCCAACTGTTTATATATTAAATTGAATAACTATGTATCATTCTAAAATACTATAAACAACACTCAACTTTGGAGTCAGAAAACCTTTGCCATTTATTAGGATAAGTTGCTTTTCCTCACTTGGTCTGTTTCCTCATTTGAGGAGTTTTAAGTAGATGATCTCTAAGGTCCTTTTAAATTTAACATTCTACGATTCAAATTTAATTAAGGGATTTGGGGAAAAGAGGGCTTGAAAAGGAAGGAAAGGAAAAGGTAAGTTTCACCTATTGCCTAGGAATGCTGAGGGATAAAGACTAATGTAAGAAAATCGTTACCTAAGACAGTGGTCGTAACATTTGCAATGCTTAAGATAGCCAATTTCCACATAAGCTGAAATATTTATAGGAAAATTTATAAATAGGAATTTGGGAAGCAGAGAGGATAGATAAACCATGGCATATTCATATGATAAACTACTATTCAGCAATAAAAAGGAATAAACTACTGATGCATGCAATCTGGATGAATCTCAAATACATAACATTGAGTAAAAAGGAGCCCTACAGAGAGGAGTACGCACTGTATGATTCCATTTATATAAAAGTCTAGAACAAAGGCACCTGGTTGCCTCAGTTGGAAGAGTATATGACTCTTGATCTCAAGATCAAGTGTGAGTTTGAGCCCCATGTTGGGTGTAGAGATTACTAAAAATAAATAAACTTTAAAAAAAAAGTCTAGAATCGGCAAATTGTGGTTCTTTCTAGGGGTGAGGTGGGGGTAGAAGTTGACTGGGAAGAAGCATGACAGAACTTTCTGAGAAGATAATGTGTCTTGAATTTGTCAAAATGGTAGCAAATTTACATAAAATTTGTACACCTATACAAGTTGTATGTGAATTTTACATCAGAAGAAAATATCTATGAACAACTGTTGAACTTTAGTTAATCTGCATGCTAAGGGAGTTAGGGTAAAGTGTACTGGTATCCACAATTTACTTTAAAATGCATCAAAATTGGGGCACCTGGGTGGCTCACTCAGTTGAGTGTCCAACTCTTGGTTTCATCTCAGGTCATGATCTCAGGGTCCTGGGACCAAGCCCCACAATGGGCTCCACACCCAGTGGGGAATCTGCTGGAGATTCTCTCCCTCTTCCTCCCCCCCTCACCTGCTCATGCACATCAAAATTAAGATGGATTAGTAAAATGGAAGGATTATAAGTGATAGATAAGTAATAAAGCAAGTTCAGCAAATGCTAGAATTTAGGTGGTAAGAGTATAGTATTCACTGTAAAATTCTTTCAACATTATTGTAGGTTTTCAACACCTAGTAAGTGGAAAAAACATTCTAAAAAATTAAAATACAAGAACTGGAGACTTTTAGATAAAGTAAGTTGACTTTTGGAAAAGCAGCAAACGTAATGAAGGCTCACATGGCCATAATCCTTCCAGATCATGTAGTTACTGCCAGTAAGGATCACAGAACCTTTCTAAATAGTATACAAGAAAGATAAGATTATCCCTGTGTCAAATGATGACAGCTGGAAAGTCCATATACTTGTTCTCCCATACTCTGGCAGATAAAGCACAAAAATGTGACCTAATATTTTGTATGGGATTTTTTTTTTTTTTTAAATTTTTATTTATTCATGATAGTCACAGAGAGAGAGAGGCAGAGACACAGGCAGAGGGAGAAGCAGGCTCCATGCACCGGGAGCCCGATGTGGGACTCGATCCCGGGTCTCCAGGATTGCGCCCTGGGCCAAAGGCAGGCGCCAAACCGCTGCGCCACCCAGGGATCCCTTGTATGGGATTTTTGACATTAAAATCCAAGTGCATTATCAGTGGACTCATCTCATTGAACAGGGTAAAAGCCAGTTTGGGCATTATAGAACCTTCAAGGTAACTAAGAGCTATATATAATCATATTAGTAAGACCATATTAAACTATATAGTTTATGGTTTGTCAGTTAACCCAAAAGTGCATAAGATCCTAAATTCATTTCCTTTCACCATAAGATAGTTGAAATGTAATATAATGTTACAGGATAAATTGTTAGAACTGGCTTCTGATGAAGACTGAGGATGACTTTTTTTTTAAGATCACTTTTTATTTTTTAATTTTAAAAAAAAATCTTTATTTTTTTATTTTTATTTTATTTTTAAGATTGTATTTATTTATTCATAGACACACACAGAGAGAGAGAGAGAGGCAGAGACACAGGGAGAGGGAGAAGCAGACTCCATGCAGGGAGCCCAATGTGGGACTTGATTCCAGGTCTCCAGGATCACACCCCAGGCTGCAGGCGGCGCCAACCTGCTGCGCCACCAGGGCTGCCCTAAGATCACTTTTTAAACACAGCATCACCTGCTTCATTATTAACAAAAGTTAAAATAGCCCCAGTTTGCTCAAATTGTTACTAACCTCTTCTTCCATTCCTATCAACACAATGAAAGACTAGTATGTATTATGATGTTATTAAAACAAAACACAGAAACAATTTAGATATACATTATCCCCTGTGAGTGACTGTGTCCTCAATCCAATCTAGATTAATTAACAAGAAGGAAGAGATTTTGTTACATTATAAACCTTAACACAATGTTCTGAGTGAACACAGATAGTTAATATGAGGAATCAAGATTTAATTTTTTTTAAAGATGTTATTTATTTATTCACAGAGAGAGAGGCAGAGACACAGGCGGAAGGAGAAGCGGGCTCCATGCAGGGAGCCCGACGTGGGACTCGATCCTGGGTCTCCAGGATCACGGCCCCGGGCCACAGGAGGCGCTAAACCGCTGCGCCACTGGGGCTGCCCTCACGATTTCACTTCTAATTTTTTATTTACTTGTGATTGGAAAATGACTAAAAAGTTACAAGCATAACAGAAATTCTATATTACCTACATGTATATTTTTAAAGAATAATACATATAGTTTGTTATTTAAATTTTTATTTTGATTATATTTGTTGAAATATATGTTAAGTCTATCAAATTCAATACTAAATATTTGGACTTGTATTTTGTATGTCCTGCCCTCTCCCACTTCATTTCATTTTCCTGGTAATTCATTTTTTAGTGTTTTACAAAAGTATCAATTTGCGAATGGCTGGAAATGAGAAATACTGATTCTTCAAAGGCAGTTTCAGGGAACTGGTGTGGGTCTCATTCTGGCAGCGTGCTGCCAACGGAATCCAGCAGTGATAGGATATCAGTACTACCTTTCACAGGAAGCTCATGGAAAGTGATCTCATCTGTATTAAGCCACTGAGCTTGTGTTTTTTGCTCATTTTAAGAATCTCCAGCCTTTCCACTGATTTTATAAGCTATATGACTGCTTTCTATTTCTTTAAACAGAGTCAGTTTTGTGATATGCAACTAAGAACTGCAGCTGGTACATACTTTCTTATCTACTTCTTTTGCTTTGCCGATCTTTATTGCTCAGTCTGCACTTTCCCACATGAAAGAACCAGCAGAAACACCTTCATCTCTCCCTTCCTACCCTAAACTGCAGGTTTCATTTCTGCTGAAGTATGACAAAATGTTCCTGGTACCCTGTGTTTTACAACAAAAATGTTAAAAGGGTGAGTCTCCTATTTGTCCAGCTGTATTGTAAGTTAAATAATAGTAAATACTGGCTACTTATGTGCCAAGTACTAGACTAGGTGTTATGTCTCATTTAAATACTACAACAAGGGCAGCCCAGGTGGCTCAGCAGTTTAGTGCTGCCTTCAGTCTAGGGCCTGATCCTGGGGACCCAGGACCGAGTCCTGCGTCGGGCTCCCTGCGTGGAACCTGCTTCTCCCTCTACCTATGTCTCTGCCTCTCTCTCTGTGTCTCTCATGAATAAATAAATTTAAAAATCTAAAAAAAAAAAAAATACTACAATAAAACTATAGGCGACATATCAATACTCCCATTTTACAAATGAGGAAACAAAGGGTCAGAGAGGTAATATAACTTTATCAAGGTTATATTGTTAATACAGAGAAGAGATAAAACTAAAATCCAAAAGTATATTATAATCACTCGAGAAGCTAAATATATTGGAATGTTTGGAAAATAACCCATCTGCAATCCAGGGATAGTTTACACTTTATCTGAGAGGGACCATCTCTGTTATCTTCTAGCTCTTACCTGTTAGCTTAGTGAAGGCTTCCATGTCATCAATTGCTGTAGAAATGTGATACTTCTTTCCTTCAGCCCCTGTAATCTCTATGTAGGGGTCTGCTTTGAGGAAAGCATCTGTAATCCTAAAGATAGTTTCATAAAAACTTATGCTTCTGAGAAAATCTGAGTATTTGCTTAATGCCTTACTTAAAGTTAAGGAAATCTTTCTTTCTACATTAGAGAAGCAAAATCCTGAGACATGATGTTCTAAACAACTATTTTGGGAACATACATGAGTGCATAAATAAGTGCATGGTGATTTGTGAGCTACCATGTTTAATGTTTACTGTGATCTAGGCATTATGCAGGGCTTTAGATACATTATCTTATTTAATTTTTCCAACAAGATAGACTAATCAGCCTCAATTTTACAGATGCAGAAATGAAGTAATTTTCATTTAACCAAGTTAGGAAGAAGCAGTACCAGCCTTTGAACCTAGATGTCTCTGGCTCTCTGAATTAAAAACAAACAAAAACTTATTATCAAAGGAACAATCATACCAATGGGTGAATGTATTCTAACTAGTCTGCTCATCTCAATTTATTATTTTTTTAACTTTTTTTAAATTTTTATTTATTTATGATAGTCACAGAGAGAGAAAGAGAGAGAGGCAGAGACATAGGCAGAGGGAGAAGCAGGCTCCATGCACCGGGAGCCCGATATGGGATTCAATCCCGGGTCTCCAGGATTGCGCCCTGGGCCAAAGGCAGGCGCCAAACCGCTGCGCCACCTAGGGATCCCCTGCTCATCTCAATTTAAAACTATTTTCAGGGATGCCTGAATGGCTCCTCAGTTAAGCATCTGCCTTCAGCTAACGTCATGATCCCGAGGTCTGGGATTGAGTCCCACACTGGGCTCCCTGCAGGGATCCTGTTTCTCCCTCTGTCTAGGTCTCTGCCTCTCTCTGTGTGTCTCTCATGAATAAATAAGTAAATAAAATCTTAGAAAAAAAAACCCAGCTATTTTGAGACATGGAATTAACTCACTCTTTTTTTTTTTTTTGAGAACCCTTTATGGGTCAATGAGTCACATACAGACGTACAGCTATACTTATATCTGTACTTGGCTAAACTTTTCTGCTATAGTTCTCACGGGTTGGGGAAAAGGGAAATTCCTGTTGGTTTTACTCTTTTCTACTAAGTTTGACAAACAATTAACAGGGTGAGGACAGACATTAATCTTAATCCTTATAATTAATCTTAATTCTTAAAACCAATTTTTGTCGTTAGTGTCAGAATGTCAATTATTCACGTCCTATTTCTCACCTTGCTACTAATATCTGGCAATAAATAATTACCTACAGGGAGGTTTAAGTCATGCCAGCATTGCCTCTTCATGTCTAGCTGAAGCCAACTCTTCCACCCTTCATCTACCCCCTCTGTCGATTCTCTTTCATTTCCTCCAACTAAGTTGTTTAATTTATTCTAGTTTTTGTTGTGTTTATGGTAGCCATTTTAAATTTATTCACTTAAAATTCACTTCAGTTAATCTAGAAATCTCAAGCTGACCCAAGAATAATACTCTAACAAACCATCAGGAAAAATTTATAGGGAAATAGCAGTTGAATTTCTTACATTGTATCAATGATGTTGCCAACTTTGTGTTGATAAGCTCTGCGGTGCAAAGTGTTACGAGTATGGAACATGTCATACAGATTCCCAACCTCCTGCAGGAAAACATGAAATAAATACTAATGTAGGATCAGGTTATGTTACCCTTGTTAGCAGACAAGTACATAGGACAAGGAAAAGGGATGGTGACTGACAGATAAGAAGAGTATGTCCTGGGCAGCCTGGGTGGCTCAGCGGTTTAAGCACCCAGGGCGTGATCCTGGAGTCCCTGGATTGAGTCCCACGTCAGGCTGCCTGCATGGAGCCTGCTTCTCCCTCTGCCTGTGTCTCTGCCTCCCTCTCTCTCTGTGTGTCTATCATGAATAAATAAATAAAATCTTAAAAAAAAAAAAAAAGAGTATATCCAAGAGCTAACTCATTAAAATCCCTGAAACCATTAAAAAACTACTAGGCAGATTAGTAAAAACCATTTCTTGGTTTGCAAGTTTTCTTCTCAGTAAATAAAAATCTGTTGTTTTAACTGTAGGATATTCTGTTTTAGGCATCTTTACTGTATTTTTTAATTTTCTCAACAAGTCTAGAAATCAGGCATTATTCTTATATTCTTTAGTCTCAAAAAAAAATAATTCTATAGTACAGTCCCATATTACTCTTTAGTTAAATGACTCTAATCTAGCAGGGAGCTACTGGTTTAGTATTTTACCTATTTTGAAACACTAAGATATATCACTAACTATGGTTAAGGATGAGACTTGAGTGAAATGTTCTGGGCTGAAACTCCAGTTCTGCCATTTGTCTTTTCTGTGCTTCAATTTGCTCACCTGTTAAGTGGGATAAGAATAGTTATCTATTTCATAGGGTTGTGAGGGTGGAGTTCATCTCCCTACAACACTTAGAACAATGCCTAACGCAATACTCAATAAATGTCTGTTGTAATTTTGTTATTATTTAACAAAGCAAAAGTTTTCAGAACTTTAAGATACTTACAAATGCTAAGCATAAAGTAAAAACATTGACAATTTACCAGGTTCTGTTTTCCAAATTATCAAATGATTACTTCTAGACTTCAAACTAGGAACTATACCTTCTGTGTTGTTCCTCTGACATAGCTCACCTTATCTCTAGTGCAAATACGTTTCCTATTATCTACTTCACAGACACGAGCAAATTTAAGAAAGCGCTGGTAATCAAAATTATTTTGTATTCCAAGATGATGGCAGTCCCTAGAAAGATTCCAAAACAAAGAGATGAAATTTTTCAGCAAGGAAACTGTACCTTAAATATTAACACTAAATATATATTAGGATTTCATTTTTTAATTTATTTAAATAAAAATTATATATACTTAAAGGATATAGGATTTTAACCAATTTTTCTGAAGTGTTCAGTGCATACCTGGCAAAATAATCCCATTTGTCCACATCAATGCCATTTCTTTTATTGGCCACTATCTCATAAAGGAAGCTTTTCTCTTTGGGACGTCCTTTATAAGGCCACTGGAAGACAAGAAAACTCACCAAAAGTTTTAGGATACAAACCAAACCTATTTACAAGCAAAGCAAAGCAACTGTGTTAATCTAAAAATTATAAACAAAAAAATTAAATTAAATTAAATTAAAATTATAAACAGATCCTTGAATGGGAATGTGAGATAACTTAGAAGGTTCTACTCTTTCCTTCTTTCACTTAATTCCTAAACTAGTAGAAAAAGGAAAAGAAATGCTAAGGTATGTGATATCCTGTTAATACTAAACCTTGTGACATCAAAAGGATCCTAACTGGTTACATTTCTCATAATCAACAAGTTGTCTTCTTTTCTTGGCTTAAAAGTCTCTTTCAGATGTAATATCTAATTATGAATTGGTAAGAACGTCTCTAGTATGCTAATGCTTGAAATCATGCATGAAAATAGTATTATCCTTCAAAGTAGTTACACATCTAGTCTAAATGAAATGTAATGTTCACATAATTTTTGAAACTCCCATATTTTAGAAATAGAATATTTGGTTCAAAACTCAGCTCTGGGGCTGACCAGGTGGCTCAGCGGTTTAGCGCCACCTTTCGCCCAGGGCCTGATCCTGGAGACCTGGGATCAAGTCCCATATCGGGCTCTGCATGGAGCCATCTCCTCTCCCCTCTGCCTGTATCTCTGCCTCTCTCTCTCTCTCTCTGTGTCTCTCATAAATAAATAAATAAAATCTTAAAACAAAACAAAAAAACCCCTCAGCTCTTTGGGGCACCTGAGTAGCTCAGTCAGTTAAGCATCAGCTTCAGGTCATGATCCCAGAGCCTCCAGATAGAGTCCCACATCAGGCTCCCTGCTCAGCTGGGAGTCTGCTTCTCCCTCTGCCCCTCACCCCACTCACACACTCTCTCTCTTAAATAAATAAAATCTTAAAAAGAAAAATAACAAAATACAGCTCGTTATATAAGTAGATTTGTATATATTCAAGGAAAAGACCAAAAACTCAGAGGGAAATTATTTTTCAACTTTTTTTTTCATTATGATTATTTTTAAAGATTTTATTTATTTGAGAAAGATAGAGAGTGAGCACAAGCAGGGCGAGAAGCAGGAGAAGCAGAGACTCCTCACTGAGCAGGGTACCCCACTCAGAGCTTGATCTCAGAACCGTGGGATCATGACCTGAGCCAAAGGCAGATGCTTACTTAGCCAACTAAGCCACCCAGGTGCCCCACATATATGTATACACACACACAGACATTCAGATTTACTTCTTTATTTGGGGGATGGCGGGGGGAGAGGCAGAGGGAGGAGAGAGAGAATCCCAAGCAGGCTCCATGCCCAGTGCAAAGCCCAGCATGGGGCTCAATCTCACAACCCTGAGATCATGACCTGAGCTGAAATCAAGTCAGACACTTAACCTACTAAGCTACCCAGGTGCTCCTCAACTTTTTTTTCAATTAAAATAAAAAAAAAAAACAAAACAGATTTTCCTTTAAGTTATTCAACTTTTTTTTCTAGACAACATTACTTCAGGCTTCTATACAGAATATACTGCATATATATTTATCAAAAAAATTTACATATGTATTTTGAGGCATAACTTCTAAAGAACTCAAGAGATTAAAAAATAGTTAAGCCTTTCATTTTTTTGCATTAAACAATAGAAACATAGAATATATTTTTGTCATTTAGTCTCCTTAAGATAACCAAATAATCTCTCTTCAAATAGCTTTGAAGGAAAGTAGAAAAAGAAGATGGGAAACAGTCAATTCAAATTAAGTTATACACAAACTTACCAAAGAATCTTTGATTGGTGTTTCAAGTGGTCCTGTAATTTGTTCCTTGATAAAGCAAATATCTTCCTCAGGGATAAGACCATACTGTTCCATGACCGCTTTTAGTCCATTAGAATTAACCAGGTGCTCAAACATCATCACTGAGCCCTGTTCATGCTAGGAAAAATCAACACAATGTGGTCTGTTACAGACTCTAGTTCATTAGGGGCCCCAGATAATACAAACTATTCATTTTTTTTTTAATTTTTTTTTTAATTTTTATTTATTTATGATAGTCACAGAGAGAGAGAGAGAGGCAGAGACACAGGCAGAGGGAGAAGCAGGCTCCATGCACCGGGAGCCCGATGTGGGATTCGATCCAGGGTCTCCAGGATCGCACCCTGGGCCAAAGGCAGGCGCCAAACCACTGCGCCACCCAGGGATCCCCTATTCATTTTTTTAAAAGATTTTATTTACTTCTTCATGAGACACACACATACACACACACACAGAGAGAGAGAGAGAGAGAGAGAAGCAGAGACAGAGGCAGAGGCAGAGGGAGAAGCAGGCTCCATGCAAGGAGCCTGATATGGGACTCAATACGTGGATCCAGGATCACACCCTGAGCTAAAGGCAGATGCTCAACCACTGAGCCACCTAGGCATTCCCAAATTATTCTTGATTACAGGTAATTCAAAGATAAGTTTCCACTGCATGTTAATTATCTAGTTTCAAACTACTGTCTTTGCAGATACCTCCAGCGTGAAGCCCAACACAGGGCTTGAACTAAAAACTCTGAGATCAAGACCTGAGCTGAGATCAGGAGTCAGATGTCTAATTGACTGGCCACCCAGGTGCCCCTTGCAGATATTTTTAAAAACCTGCCAAATCGGTATGCCTAGGTGGCTTAGCAGTTGAGCATCTGCCTTCAGCTCAGAGCATGATCCTGGGTCTGGGGATCGAGTGCTGCATCACACTCCCTTGTGAGGAGCCTGCTTCTCCCTCTGTCTAGGTCTCTGCCTAAAAAAAAGTTTATAGTGGAGAAATCTGTAAACAATGCCTCAATCAATTGATCAAAATTATTATCACCAGCAATGTGTTAAACAGATTTTATGTGCCTCTGATGTGATATACTAAGAAGATAAATGTGGCATCTCTCTGTGTCTCGTGAATAAATAAATAAATAAATAAATCTTAAAAAAAAAACAAAAAAATTCCTGCCAAATCTGTATTTTACTAGCCTATAAACATTTTACATGTTATGTTCATCATTATATCATATTTAATGAGACATAATCCTTTACAGTACAGAGGTACTACACAGTACAGTACAGAATATTACCCAGTTACACAGGTACAATCCTGCTTTACTGAATATCACTATGAAATTCAGTTCTATTGGGGTGCCTGGCTAACTCAGTTGGTAGAGCACAAGACTCTTAATCTTGGGTCATGAGTTCAAGCCCTGCACTGGGTGTGAAGCCTACTTAAAATTTGTGTAAAATTCAAAAAACAAAATCAGTTCTATTGTTTCATCAGCCTTGAAACATGTAAGGTTAAAAATTCTTAAGCACTTCCATCTAGTGGTGAAAAGAGGTGACTGCAAATTTCCCAGTAAAAACAAAAGTGTTTTAGAGCTCTGAGATCAACATTTAGGTAAGAATCGTAAATAGGCCTTTTTTTTACTAACCTATGTTTCCTCATTCACAAGTGTAAAGACCATATGATCCCCTGAAGACATCGGTGCCCTCACAGGTTTTACCAAAAACTGAAAATGAAAATAAAACCTGGATGGAAAAAAATAAATAAATAAATAAATAAATAAAATAAAATAAAATAAAATAAAATAAAATAAAATAAAATAAAATAAAATAAAATAAAATAAAATAAAATAAATAAAATAAAAATAAAACCTGGATGGTTGTCCTTATTTTTTTTTAATTTTTATTTATTTATTTATGATAGTCACACACAGAGAGAGAGAGAGGCAGAGACACACGCAGAGGGAGAAGCAGGCTCCATGCACCGGGAGCCCGACGTGGGATTCGATCCTGAGTCTCCAGGATCGCGCCCTGGGCCAAAGGCAGGCACTAAACCGCTGTGCCACCCAGGGATCCCTGGATGGTTGTCCTATAACTATTTTTTAATTGAATCAAGATGCACATAAATTAAAAGAGGAAAAACAGTTGACGTTTATAGTGGAGGGGCACCTTGGTGGTTCAGTCAATTGGGCGACTGCTTTTGGCTCAGGTCATGATCCCGGGATCCTGGGATGGAGCCCTGCATCAGGCTCCCTACTCAGTGGGGAGGCTGCTTCTCGGTCTCCCTCTGCGGCTCCCCCAACTAGTGTGTGCTTGTGCTCTCTGTCCATTGAATAAATAAAATCCTTTTAAAAAATTATTATTTTTTCATGAGAGACACAGAGAGAGAAGAGAGAGGCACAGACACAGGCAGAAGGAGAAGCAGGCACCATGCAGGCAGCCTGATGTGGGACCCAATCCTGGGTCCCCAGGACCAGGCCCTGGGCCGAAGGCGGCAATAAACCGCTGAGCCACCTGGGCTGCCCCAATAAATAAAATCTTAAAAAAAAAAAAAAAAAAAAAAAAAGTTTAGTGGAGAAATCTGGTAAACAATGCCTCAATCAAGTGATAAAAGTTATTATCACCAGTAATGTGTAAAACAGATTTTATGTGCCTCTAACGTTTTATACTAAGAAGATACAATGTGGCGTTCTGCCAAAAATACAGTCTGACACTATGTATCAGAAAACTGCAAATATCAGACAAATTGAGGGGCATTCCAGAAACAACTCACCTGTACTCTTCAAAAATAAGGTCAGGGCAGCCCAGGTGGCTCAGCGGTTTAGCGTTTGCCTTCGGCCCAGGGCATGATCCTGGAGACCCAGGATTGGGTCCCACGTTAGGTTCCCTGCATGGGGCCTGCTTCTCCCTCTGCCTGTGTCTCTGCCTCTCTCTCTCTCTCTCCTCTGTGTATGTGTGTGTGTGTGTGTCTTTCATGAATGGATGAATACAATTAAAAAAAAAAAAAGATTGATTTAAAAAAAAAGAAATAAAAATAAAATCTTTAAAAAAAGATGGTGAGGGATCCCTGGGTGGCACAGAGGTTTGGCGCCTGCCTTTGGCCCAGGGCGCGATCCTGGAGACCCGGGATCGAGTCCCACGTCGGGCTCCCGGTGCATGGAGCCTGCTTCTCCCTCTGCCTATGTCTCTGCCTCTCTCTCTCTCTGTCTGTGTGACTATCATAAATAAATAAAAATTTTAAAAAAAAGAAATTAAAAAAAGATGGTGAAAAAAATAAAAACAAATAAAATTAAAAAAGATGGTGAAAGGCCAATTTTTTTTAATTTTTAAAAGTTTATTCATTTAAGTAATCTCCACGCCCAATGTGGGGCTTGAAGTTGTAACCTGGAGATCAAGAGCCACATGCTCTAGCAATTGAGCCAGCCAGGCACCCCTAAAAGGCCAAATTTGGGGGGGGGGAGCGGAGATTTATTTATTTACTTGAGAGAGAGAGAAAGAGAGAGAAAGTAGGAGGGGCAGAGGAAGAGAGAATCTCAAGCTGACTCAGTGCAGCCCACAGAGACTCACTCAAGGCTCGTTCCCATGACCCTGAGATCACGACCTGAAACCAAGAGTTAGAAACCTAAATGACTACACCAACCAGGTACCCCTAAATGGTCAAAATTTTACATATAAAGACTTGAAAACTGGGACACCTGGTGGCCCAGTTGGTACAGAATCTGACTTTGGATCTCAGGGTTGAGTTCAAGCCCCGTGTTGAGCATGGAGCCTACTTTAAAAAAACAAATACAAAGACTTGCAAATAGCTGAGTAGATCCTATTTAGATCAGCCTTGCTGAAGAAAACAACTATTAAGTCTGGACAACTTCCTAAAGGTACTGGCAGGCCACCAAAAGCAGGCTGATGTTACAAGGAAGTTAACACTTGGAAGATAAAAAGCACTGGGCAATATTCCAGTTCTTTTATGGCCGTTAGCATGAGGCCCCAAGGCAGCAAAACTACAGAAAAACTACCCATCTTAGTTGAAGAATCAGAATACTCCATCAGAATTTAAAATTTATTTCTCAAAGGCACCATTAAAAAAATGAATTGGCGGGCAGCCCGGGTGGCTCAGAGGTTTAGCGCCGCCTTTGGTCCAGGGCATGATCCTGGAGACCCGGGATCAAATCCCACGTCGGGCTCCCAACATGGAGCCTGCTGTGTCTCTGCCTCTCTCTCTCTCTGTCTCCATAAATAAACAAATAAATAAATCTTAAAAAAAATAAATTAAAAAAAAATGAATTGGCAAGTCAGAGACTGGAAAAAAATCTTTACAACACATGTATTTATCATATAAATATAGTTACTATACATACTATTTTTATATATAGTTATATCATATGTAATTACTCAAATAAATCAAAAGCCAAACAATAAGATTTTTTAAAAATGGGCTAATGTTGAAAGAACTCTTCACAAAAGAAAATATATCGGGGCAATTGGGTGGCTCAGGGATTGAGTGTCTGCCTTTGGTTCGGGTCATGATCCTGGGGTCCTGGGATCAGGTCTCACATTGGGTTCCCTAGAGGGAGCCTGCTTCTCCTTCTGCCTGTGTCTCTGCCTCTGTGTCTCTCATGAATTAATAAAAATCTTTAAAACAACAATAAAAACAAAAGAAAATATATCAATAACAAAATATAGGAAACGGTACTCAACAAACATTAAAGAATGTAAAAAAAAAAAAAAAACACACACACACATCCAAAACACCACTTGACACTCATTAGAAAGGATAATCTATAAAAACCCAAATGTTGACAAGGCTGAGGAACAGGAAATCTCCCACACTGGCGATGAAGTGAAAAATGGTATAATATGGGAAAGGTCTAGGAGTTTCTTATAAAGTAAACATGATCTGGCATTTTTACTCTTAGGCATTTTAACTAAAAGAAATGAAGACATTTTCCACAAAAATCATGTACAGTGATGTGTATAGAAACCTTATTTGTAATAATCAAGAAGTGAAAACAACTCAAATTCTATCAAAGGGAAAAAGGATAATAAAATCACAACTTATCCTGCAATGGAATACTTCCTCAGCAGTAAGCAGGGATCAACAGGTGATGCACACAACATGAATGAGTCTCACAATCATCATGTTATGTGAATAAAAGCAAGACACAAATGAGTATCTATGATAGGATTCTACTCATATTAAACCTGAGAATAGGAAAAACAAACCTAGGTTTATAAAACTCAGGTGATGAGAGAGAAGCAGGCATTGACTGAGAAAGGCCTTCTTGAGAATTCTCAAGAAGATGAAGACATGGGGAACCCTGGGTGGCACAGTGGTTTGGTGCCTGCCTTTGGCCCGGGGCGCGATCCTGAAGACCCGGGATCGAATCCCATGACGGGCTCCCTGCATGGAGCCTGCTTCTCCCTCTGCCTGTGTCTCTGCCTCTCTCTCTCTCTCTCTGTGTGACTATCATAAATAAAAAAAAATAAAAAAATAAAAAAATAAAATAAATAAATAAAAAATAAATAAATAAATAAAAGAAGATGAAGACATACCATATCCTGACTTGCATAGCAGTGACATGAACAACTGTCAAAAATTCACTGAACCAGGAGCACCAAGGCTGGCTCAGTCAGTGGGGCGTGTGACTCTTGATCTTGGGGGGTCATGAGTGTGAGCCCCATATGTTGGGTACAGAGATTACTAAAAATAAACAATAAATTTAAAAAATATTCACTGAACTGTACACTTAAGATCCATACAACTTACTAGATGTCAATTACTCCTTTACAAGAAAAAAAAAAAAAAAAGAAAGAAAAGCCAGCACCTGGCTGGCTCAGTTGATGGTGTGTGACTTTTGATCTCGGCATCATAGGTTCAAGTCTTACACTCGGTGTAGATGTTACTTTCAAAAAGTAAATATTTTTTAAAAAGAAAGGAGAGGAGAGGAGAGGGGAGGGGAGGGGAGGGGGAAAGAAAAGAAAAGAAAAGAAAAGAAAAGAAAAGAAAAGAAAAGAAAAGAAAAGAAAACAAGAGAAAGAAAGAAAAGAAAGAAAGAAAGAAAGAAAGAAAGAAAGAAAGAAAGAAAGAAAGAAAAAAGAAAAGAAAAAAGAAAAGAAAAAAGAAAAGAAAAGAAAAAAGAAAGAAAATAGAGGTTGACATAGAAGAACCCGTCGGTAGGTACTAATATCCTTTTCTACTCCAGGTTCCAGAAAGACAACGTGGTAAAAAATGGAAGCCAGCCTAACTTCCTGTTTCAAAAACTGATTCCAAAAACAGGGGTCAGGGCAGCCCAGGTGGCTCAGCGGTTTAGTGCTGCCTTCAGCCTGGGGTGTGATCCTGGAGACCCGGGATCGAGTGCCCCATCGGGCTCCCTGCATGGAGCCTGTTTCTCTCTCTGCCTTGTCTCTGCTTCTCTCTCTCTGTGTCTCTCATGAATAAATAAATAAAATCTTAAAAAAAAAAATAGAGGTCAGTGACCTGCATATCCCTATTTATAGAATAGTTCATTTAATATAAATGATGAAACTTGACTGGTATTGGCTACTTCATGATCAAAACAAATGAGTTAAAAAAAATGAGTTAAAATAGAGTTGGTCTTTTATTTATTTATTTTTTCAATAGTATGATAGAATAGTAAGAGCTTTAAATTAGCAGATAGAGGGACACTTGGGTAGCTCAGTCAATTAAGCATCTGTTCAGCTTGGGTCATGATCTCAGGGTCCCAGGATTGAGCCCCGTGATGGACTCCTTGCTCAGCAGGACACTGCTTCTCCCTCTCCATCTGTCCCTCCTCTCCCCCCTAGCTCATGGTCTTTCTCAAAAAAATTTTTAAAAGATCTTTTAAAAAAATAGCAGTTAGAAAACCTGGTTTTCTAGTGCTGGCTCTACCGTTTAACAGCTTTGTGATTAAAAAAAAAAAAAAGATTTATTTTTTGAGAGAGTGCATGTGCACATGTGTGCAGGGGAGAGGGGCAAAGAGACAGTGAATCTTAAGCAGACTCCACACTCAGCAAAGCAAGGCTCAATCTCACAACCCTGAGATCATGATCTGAGCTGAAACCAAGAGCTGGTCACTTAACTAAGCCAACTTTGTGATTTTGTGTATAGGCATACTTCTGTGAGCTTCTATACCTCTATATAATTACACTTATAAAACTGAAGATAACGATTCCTTCCTTAAAGGAAGGCACCTGGGTGGCTCAGTGGTTGAGCATCTGTCTTTGGCTCAGGTCATGATCCCAGGGTCCTGGGATTGAGTCCCGCAACCGGCTCCCTGCATGGAGCCTGCTTCTCCCTCTGCCTATGTCTCTGCCTCTCTCTGTGTGTCTCCCGTGAGTAAATAAATAAAATCTTAAAAAAAAAAAAAAAAAAAAAGGAAGAAGAAGACGACGACGACTACTAGGACACCAAATGAAACATACACAGACAAACATCCTGAACACTATAATGGAGAAGTATACTATAACACAACAATGGTTGCTTAATAGTCTTTACTAACTATGTATATATGAATACATACCGTCCATTTCACATTTGGGCGAGCAAGTGGAATAAATCTTCCATCAAACATATGAGAAAATGGCCCATGACCTTAAAAACAAAAGCAGCCTTAGAACAAGGAAACTGCTTGTAGATTGGTAAAATGTGAATCTATTTTTTATCTTTCTAGCTTAACTTGAAAATGAACAGATATTAACAATCTATGTCACAAAAAGGGGACACACAACTCTATGTTATGGTTTTATGTTAACAACTTTGGTTCTTTGTATAGCATACCGAGATCATGACAAAGGCCAGCAATCTGAACACAGAGCACATCTCGTCCACTTATCTGCAGCTCTGGTTGCTTCTCACGCAGTGCACGAACCAGACATCCTGCTAGATACCCTACACTGCAGAGTAAACAAAACAAAAAATAACATAAAGTCACTCTTCCTTTTGGAAGATGATACTTCTGGACCTAAAGAACTTTAATATGTTTCTTAAATGTTCTCATATATCTCTACAAAAAATTAAAGAGTAGTCTGTTTCAGAACTACTACTACAGGCCCAAACATACAAACAGAATCCCTAAAGTAGGACCTCTTGGCTCACAACCAGGAATCATTAGGGAAATGCAACATTAAAATCGCAATGAAATACCACCCTTATACTCATTAGAAAGGTTATTATAAAACAAAACAAAACCCAATAAACAAAGTAACAAATGTTGGCTTGGATGTAGAGAAACTAGACCCCTTACATACTGTTGTTGGGAATTTAAACTTGTGCAGCCACTATGAAAAACAATACGTTTCCTCAAAAAATTAAAAATAGAATTACCATACAAGCCCGCAGTACCCTGTGGGTATATACCCAAAACACTGAAAGCAGAGTCTCAGAAATATATGATCATAGCAACACTATTCACAATAGCCAGAGGTGGAAGCAATCCAAGTGTCCACTCATGAATAAAGGAATAAACAAAATGTGGTATAAACATATAATTGAATAATATCTAGTCTTAAAAAAGGACATTCTCACATATGCTCCAACATAGATGAACTCTGGGAAAATTATGCCAAGTGAATTGAGCCAGTCCAAAAAGAGAAATACTGTAAGATATTACTTATATGAGGTACCTAGAGTCGTTAAATTCATAGAAACAGAACATAGAATGGTGATGACCAGAAGCTAGAGGGAGAGGAGAATGGGGAATTGTTATTTAATGGGTACAGATTTTAGTTTTGCAAGATGAAAATGTTCTAGAGTTTGGCTGCACAATAATATGGATATATTTAACACTATTGAACATACATGCAGTGACTGAGCATCTGCGTTTGGCTCAGGGCATGATCCCGGGTCTTGGGATGGAATCCTGCATCACATTCCCCGCAGGGAGCCTGTTTCTCCCTCTGCCTAGGTCTCTGCCTCCCTCTGTGTGTCTCTCATGAATAAATAACTAAAATCTTTTTTAAAAAATGTTTTTTAAAAAATAAAAAATAAAAATGGTTTTAAGATGGTAAGTTTTTATATTCTATGTATTTTACTACAAGTATTTTTCAAAGAAGCAAGACTTCTGGCTTTGTAACGTTTACAACATAGATTGAAGATAAAGTGCCTGACAAATGTTAAATGCACTTTTAGCATATTCCCTGAAAGTAATTCCTGAATGAATACAATATCTTTCTTTTCCCACTTAACTCTGAACTCCAGGAAGTTAGAGACAATTGCTACCCTGTTGGTTTGGTAAAGCCTCGTAAGTATTCAATAAATGTGTTGATGAATGAATGCACATTTGAGTAGACACTTGTATTCTGGCTATTAAAAATGCTTCCAAAAAAAGCCCCATAGAAACCAAAAAACACTTCAAAACAAAGTAAAACAGTATAAGTATTTCACAAAACCTAGAAAACTGTCCAGTTCTACCCAGCCCATGTTCTCCTAGCTCCAAATTTTATAATGGAAAAGCAGACCAAATTCTCAACTTGGTTGTATGTAACAGAGGTGCCACCTTCTCTAAGGCTTGTGAATATTTTTCTGATCTACAAATTTCCTGATAGGTGAATAAAACCATCTGGTTTCAAATGGCACTTCTGTACAGGACTAAACAGGAAAACTAAATAATCACACTTACAAAATTAGTTATACCAGTAACCAAACATGTTAGGTCTGAAGTACTTAAACACAAATACATCATCCAAATTACCTGTCAATAGACACTTTGATTACCTTTCCAGGAAGGATCTGAATTGGCTTATAAGAATATATAAAATAAATAAAATATATCAAGGTAAATCAAAACCTCAGTTTTCTCATCAACAAAATATGGATATTATTACCATTTTGTCAAACCATTCTCTAAAAGGTAAGATGAGACAGTCATTTCATAAGATAAAGAAGGTATTTAATAACTGTAAATTCCCCATCAATGGACTTCTTACCCTAGACTGTGCTCAAATCGATTGTGCGAAGCACCTGGAAAAATGTAGTAACTGCCTCCCAACTGTTTGATATATCGAAGCCGCTGAAATTGAGGTGTGTCGATGATTCGGATGAGGAGAGGGTGGAGTTCAATGTGGCCATGGATAGGATCATTAATTACCTAGAAAATTATGTTTAAATTGGTATCAGTAACAATATGTAACTCCATCTAAAATTTTTGTACAGTCATTCCTATCTACAGTGCACAAAGCTATTCAGTTGTTCTCAGGTAAGAACACGACTATGGGAAATAACAAGATATTAATAAAATATTACCTTACTATCAGATAGATCAAGTATATTGGATCTGGGTATATTTTACTTCTTCTTAATGGATGCTAAGAATAAAATGATAAGAATTCCAATCTTTTTATTATGATTTGATTAGCCTTTGATAAATTACTCTTGTATTCAACTTAAATACAAGTATGTTATTTAACATACTCCTTTAGATTATAAAAGCCAGGGATGCCTGGGTGGCTCAGTGGTTAAGCGTTGCCTTCGTCTCAGGGAGTGATCACAGGGTCCTGGGATCGAGTCCCATACCAGGCTCCCTGCTGGAAGCCTGCTTCTCCCTCTGCCTATGTCTCTGCCTCTCTCTCTCTGTCTCTCATGAATAAATAAATTAATAAATAAATATATATATATTTTTTTTACCGCAGGCTAAAAATATAAAATCTTAAAAAAAAACATCATAAAAGCCATATTAGGCAGCCCCAGTGACACAGCGGTTTAGCGCCGCCTGCAGCCCAGGGCATGATCCTGGAGACCCGGGATCGAGTCCCACGTCAGGCTGTCTGCATGGAGCCTGTTTCTCCCTCTGCCTGTGTCTCTGCCTCTCTCTCTCTCTCTCTCTCTGCATCTCTATGAATAAATAAATATTTTTTTAAAAAAGCCATCTATTCTTAGCTTAAACAGAGTTAAATATGGGTGAAGATTTAATGCCCCCCTATGTTTCTCTAAATAAAGATACTTCTTAGGGGCACCTTGGTGGCTCAGTCAGTTAAGCTACTGACTATTGGTTTTGGCTCAGGTCATGATCTCATAGTTATGAGATGGAGCCCCTCATCAAGCTCATTGTTCACAGCAGAGTCTGCTTAAGATTCTCTCTCTTGGGATCCCTGGGTGGCGCAGAGGTTTGGCGCCTGCCTTTGGCCCAGGGCGCGATCCTGGAGAGCCGGGATCGAATCCCACGTCGGGCTCCCGGTGCATGGAGCCTGCTTCTCCCTCTGCCTGTGTCTCTGCCTCTCTCGCTCTCTCTCTCTCTCTCTGTATGACTATCATAAATAATAAAAAAAAAATTTAAAAAAAATAAATAAAAATTAAAAAAGATTCTCTCTCTTCCTCTCCTTCTGTCCCTCCCCTCAGTGCACTTACTCTCTCTCTAAAATAAATAAATAAAATATTAAAAAGTAAATAAACTTCATTCTTAACTATCCATAACTGCCTTTCAAAGAGAAAAATACAAAATAAAAAGGAATTTACTAAATGATCTAATTCATGATTTTCAAACTGCTTCAAAATTTTCAATGAAGTTTCTTAAAAATGTATGGAATTCTGGGAGGTAAAGGGCCTTGTCTATGTCATTTACTGCCATATTCTCAGCACAGCATAGTGCCTGACACATAGTAGGAACTCAAATATATTTTAAATGACTATTGTTAAACTGCCAATGCAAAGATACATATGTTAAGATACTATTATAGATAAAGTGAACCATGCCCATACACAGACATATATAAAATAAACTAGAGCAGCTCAATCCTGTAAAGAAGCTTAAATGGGTCATCTGGTCCAACATTTGAACATGTTGGTGATAAGGAAGTCATTTCCTTTAAAATATCTAGATTCAAGTTGCATACCCAGAGTCTGAACCAAGTAATAACAAGAATTTACAACTCTGTTAAACAATATGTATATTAATAAGATTAAATTTATGGTTGATGATTGGTTATTACTGTGTTTCTGCCTGCTCTATGAAGCTATTTCACCACAATAAACAATATCAAGTTTAGTTACCCCTAATTATATACCAAGAATGATATCAAAATATCTCTGGAATAGAAGACACCGTGAATGTTGTTAATTCAACCTTATGGATGTTTTTTTTATCAGACAAGAAAAAGTTCGGAAATCTTTAAAGATAAATGTATTTATTTGAGGGTGGGGGAGGAACAGAGGGTGAGGTAGAGAGAGTTCTAAGCAGACTCCTTGCTGAGCCTAGAGCCCAACTCAGGGCTCGATCTCATGACCCTGAAATCATGACCTGAGCCAAAACCACAAGTTGGAGCCTCAACCAACTGTGCTACCCAGGTGCCCTCCAAAATCTTTAAATATATGACAAACAGGGGTGTGCCTGGCTGGCTCAGTCAATGGGAACACACAACTCTTGATCTTAAGGTTGAGTTCAAGCCCTACACTGCGTGTAGAGATTACTTAAAAACAAAATCTTTAGGGATGCCTGGGTGGCTCAGTGGTGGAGGCCTCCTTTAGGCCAATGGCATGATCCTGGAGTCCCAGGATTGAGCCCCACATCAGGCTCCCTGCACGGAGGCTGCTTCTCCCTCTGCCTGTGTCTCTGCCTCTCTCTCTCTGTCTCTCATGAATAAATAAATAAAATCTTAAAATAAAATAAAATAAAATCTTAAAAAAAAATAAAGTTAGTGGTGCTTGGGTGGCTCAGTTGGTTAAGTGGCTGCCTTCAATTCAGGTCATGAGGGCAGCCCTGGTGGCGCAGCAGTTTAGTGCCGCCTGCAGCCCAGGGCATGATCCCTGGATCGAGTCCCACATCAGGCTCTCTGTATGATGCCTGCTTCTCCCTCTACCTGTGTCTCTGCCTCTCTTTCTCTGTCTCTATGAATACATTAAAAAAAAAATCAATTCAGGTCATGATCCCTGTGTCCTGGGTTCGAACCCTGCATCTGGCTCCTGCCTCAATGCGCAGCCTGCTCCTCCCTCTACACCACTTGTGCTCTCTCACACATGCTCTCTCTCTCTCAAATAAATAAATCTTCCAAAAAAAAAAAAAAAGTAAAATAAAAAGAAAAGAAAATCATATATTGGTCTTTTCCTTTTCCCTTATATATAAGATTAATGTAACCACCACAAAGAGAATCTATTTTTTTATTAATAAATTTATTTTTTATTGGTGTTCAATTTGCCAACATACAGAATAACACCCAGTGTTCATCCCGTCAAGTGCCCCCTCAGTGCCCGTCACCCATTCACTCCCACCCCCCACCCTCCTCCCCTTCCACCACCCCTAGTTCGTTTCCCAGAGTTAGGAGTCTTTATGTTCTGTCTCCCTTTCTGATATTTCCTACCCATTTCTTCTCCCTTCCCTTCTATTCCCTTTCACTATTATTTATATTCCCCAAATGAAAGAGAACATATGTTTGTCTTTCTCCGATTGACTTATTTCACTCAGCATAATACCCTCCAGTTCCATAAGAGAATCTATTTTTTAAAAATATTTTATTTATTTGAGAAAGAGCAGAAGCAGGAGGAGTAGCAAAGGGAGAGAAAGAAGCAAACTCACTGCTGAGCCAGGAACACAATGCAGGGCTCAATCCCAGGACCTTAGATCATAACCTGAGCTGAAGGCATAGGTTTAACTGACTGAGCCACCCAGGTGTCCCTAGAATCTATTTCATTATTAAAAGTTATAAAAAAAATTCTATAATCTATTTTTAGTCCATTTAAGGGTCTAAAAGTCTTCACTGTCAATTTTTCAGGTGTAATAACTGGTTAAAACAAAGAACATTTAAGTAGATTAAAAAAAAAAGAGAGGGGCACCTGGGTGGTTCCGTTGGTTAAGCAACCAGCTCTTGGTTTCGGCTCAGGTCATGATCTCAGGGTTGTGTGATCGAGCTCTGTGCAGGGTTCCACATACTCAGCTTGAGATTCTCTCTCCTTCCCCCTCTCTCCCTCCACTCTTTCCCCCATGCACTCTTTCTCTTTCTCTCTCAAATGGATAAAATCTTTTTAAAAAATAAAAACAAAAAAAATCAAGAACTCAATGAAAATCATTTTAGCATAGTATCATAATATACATCTTTTAATGTCAAAATGCATCATGAGCACTTTTATATTTTGCAGATCTTAATAATTATCCTTTTAGAAGAAAAAGATTTATTTTAGACAGAGAGAGAGCATGCAAGCGTATGAACGAGAGCAGGGGGAGGGGCAGAGGGAAAGAGAGAACCTCAAGCTGACTCCATGCTGAGCCTAAGCCCAACAAGGGGCTTGATCCCACAACCTGGAGATCACCGCCTGAACTGAAATCAAGAGCTGGAGGCTAAACTGACTGAGCCACCCAGGTGCCCTATCCTTTTTTTTTTTTTTTTTTAAAGTAAGCTCGCAGGGATCCCTGGGTGGCACAGAGGTTTGGCGCCTGCCTTTGGCCCAGGGCACGATCCTGGGGACCCGGGATCGAATCCCACGTCGGGCTCCCGGTGCATGGAGCCTGCTTCTCTCTCTGCCTCTCTCTCTCTCTCTCTCTCTCTCCTCTGTGTGTGACTATCATAAATAAAAATAAAAAAAAATAAAGTAAGCTCGCCCAACATGGAGCTTGATCTCACAACCTGAGATCAAGAATTGCATGCTAAGAAAAAAAGAGTTGCATGCTCTCCACACTGATAGACTGAGCCAGACACCTCAATAATTATCCTTATAACGGTTCCATTTCATTGATAAACTTTTTTTTTAAGATTTTTTTTTATTAAGGAGTGCCTGAGTGGCTCAGTCGGTTAAGCATCTGCCTTCGACTCACAACCCGATCTCAGAGTCCTAGCATAGAGCCCCGCATCAGATTCCCTGCTCAGCAGGTTATCTACTTCTCCCTCTCCCACTCCAGGTCCCTCTGTTTGTACCCTCCCTCTCTCTGTCAAATATATAAATAAAATCTTTAACAAAAAAAAAAAACGATTTTTTAATTTATTTGACAGAGAGAGAGTTCTTGTGCAAATGCATGCATGAGAGTAAGTGGGGCAGAGGGACAGAGAGGATCTCAACCAGACTCTACGCTGCTGAGTATAAAACCCACAGGGGGCTCAATCTCATGATCCAGAGATCATGACCTGAGCTAAAATCGAGAGTTGGACACTTAACTGGCTGAGCCAC